CTTTCAGACGAGTAGCTTCTGAACCGAACCTCCCAATGCGTGGATTTTACAATCAAATCCACTTATAGTGCTTCCGTTCCCCTCCTCGGGGAACGAAGGGTTACTTTAGTAACCTCGAACGTTACGGGTCATTTGTTTGTGTCGGTTGTCTTCATTTTAATGGTTTGGTGAGGATGCGATGGTGTGCTTTATCTGCCTGATTCCCGCTGAACTGGGTGGGTTGTGAGACGTTTGATTCGAGGGATGCTCTGGGGGCAGGGTTTGCGTGACGCGCTGCGAGCTACTAGTCTGACAGTGGAAACACGGCTATTGACTTCTGATGTGATTTTGTCAGGCCTTGACAGGGACTTTGTCAGTACACAGTTTATTTGGACCAGCTTCTTCTTGCTCTAAATTACAACCTGTACATGTGATATGTAAGGCTTGAAACTTACGCTGCTATTCTGAACCAATAGTCGGAAACAGAAAGCAGTTGAAGGATGGCGTGTTTAAATCCATTATTTATCTGACTCCATTGTAATTAATCTGACTCCATTAAAGTTGTTATCATCATTGATAAAGAGAAAGAATCTCTACGTCTTAAAGCAGGCAAAGTTGTTTATTAAGTTACATGATCAAATATACAGACATTAGAATGAAACAAACTAAGATACTGTATAAAGAAATTAGCTGTAACATCTGCACTGCTGAGCAACAAAGACAGTGAAACTGCCTTTGTTAGCATATGAGGCTACGCACCAGTGTGCGGGAGATGCAGAGTAAAAGCCATTCTCCCCGATCAACAGTTACCTTTCCTTATTATACCCTGTGCAAAGCATTGTCAAACATAAGTGAAAACCAACCCCCAAAACCAGCTGAACGTGAGAACAAAGTTGAAGAGATGAAGTGGGGGAGAAGAACATTAACATACTCTCCTCAGGCCATGACCCAACAATAGTAAATATATTGTAGATTGAAACACAATTAATCGATGTCTCTGTTGATTTCATCACTACAACACTGAAGTCATAAACTGTCAAATGACACCAAACATGACAAAGTTATCTCAAAGAAGAACACGAGCAGATGAATTGTGTATGGTGAAGAGCACATGGTTACTGTAAGCAAATGGCAGAGATGTGTATCGGAGCTGTGAGGAACTCTGCCTCACCAGGAGGACCCATCCCATGCTTGGAATGTCTCAGTAGTCCTTTATTAGCATAGAAGGAAATATATATCATATTTTCTCAGCTTACAGATATAAAAAAAATTTGCCTTTTTGTTCTCTGTAGCATGAAAAATAGGTATTTAGTTGTGTGTGTATTGTTTGCTCGTCACAGCTTGTAGGTCTTAGGTTAACCGGCTAGCAGTTTTCACGATGGACGCAGAAAGCGCTGCGCTATAAAACTTATCAATTTCAATTGCTTAAGCAGTACTTGGAGTTATGATGAAGAGTAGAGGAATACAAATACTGGTGTACAAACTGCAATTTGTTATCAATATGTTCATGATTTGGTCAGTATAATTACAGTTGAAGTCAGAATTATTAACCCAATGATATATTTATTTCCCCAATTTCTGTTTAATGCAAAGATTTTCAACACATTTGTAAACATAACAGTTTTGATAACAAATTTTTTATCTTTGCCACAGTACACAGTGTTTTACTAGATATTTTCAAGAAGCTAGTATTCAGCTTAAAGTGCAATTTAAGGGCTTAACTGGGTTAATTTGGTCAATTAGGCAAGTCATTGCATAAAGATGGTTCGTTCTTAGAACGTTGGGCTAATAATATTGCTCTTAAAATGACTTCAACTGTACATTTACTGTATCATGGCTGCTTGATAAGCCATAATGGGCTGCACTAATAACGACAGACTGGGTCATCAGACCAATCACAGAAGTATAGCAACTAAAAATAAAAAACAATCACATATTATAAGACAATGAATGTTTTTGACTGTGCATAAATGTCAGACTGTTGGAACTCCCAAAATCAATCTATAATAATGGATTGTAATTGGATAATAATTATCCATAATAGAGCCACTTTATTAGTTACACATGTCCAACTGCTTGAAAACGCTAATTTCTAATCAGCCAATCACATGGCAGCAACTCAATGCATTTAGGCATGTAGACATGGTCAAGACGATCTGCTGCAGTTCACACAGAGCATCAGAATGAGGAAGAAAGGTGATTTAAGTGACTTTGAACTGTCACTCCTGTCAGCTAAGGACAGGAAATTGAGGCTACAATTTGCACAGGCTTATCAAAATTTGACAATAGACGATTGGAAAAACGTTGCCTGGTCTGATGAGTCTCAATTTCTCCTGTGACATTTAAATGGTTGGGTCTGAATTTGGCATCAACAACATGAAAGCCTGGATCCATCCTGCCTTGTATCAACGGTTCAGGCTGGTGGTGTAGTGGTGTGGGGGATATTTTCTTTGGCCACTTTGGGCCCATTAGTACCAAATGATCATCATGTCAACGCCACAGCCTACCTGAGCATTGTTGCTGACCATGTCCACCCTATTTGACACACAGTGTACCCATCTTCTGATGGCTACTTCCAGCAGAATAATGCACCATGTCATGAAGTGTGAATAATCTCAGACTGGTTTCTTGAACACGACAATGAGTTCACTGTACTCAAATGGCCTCCTCAGTTACCAGATCTCAATCCAATAGAGGACCTTTGGGATGTTGTGGAACGGAAGATTCGCATCATGGATGTGCAGCCGACAAATCTGCAGTAACTGTTTAATGCTATCATGTCAATACGGACAAAATTTATAAGGAATTTTCCAGTACCTTGTTGAATCTATCCCACGAAGGATTAAGGCAGTTCTGAAGGCGAAAGGGAACCCGGTACTAGTAAGGTGTACCTAATAAAGTGGCCGGTGAGTGTATATTCATATAGAAAACACATATTACTTAAATAATTAATTATTTTATAATTCTGCTACTTTTAGATGTCAATGTGATTCCAACAATATAATTTAAGTTGTGGTGTGGTGATAATCTTAGAGTGTGCTTTTTAAAGAGCCCATATTATGGGTTTTTGAAAATTCCCCTCCATGTAGTGTGTAACACAGCTCTAAGTGAAGTGAAGTATCCAGTTAAGGCTTAAATCTGTTAGTGTACAGTGTTTAAAACGGTTGATTCATCTATAAAAGAGTCGACTCATAGTGCTTCAAACGAGTCGCCTTGATACCGATTCATTAGGTGTTTTGCCATGACGTACGAACGAAACCAAGTTATTCACGTGCACGCGCAAACCCGGGAGATTTCAAACCTGAGGCCCCGCCCTCTGACGCAGAAACTCAGACACACACACAAACACACACCCACAAACACACACACACACACAAACATGCCGGTCGATTGAAGTCACACTGCAGATGGATATATTGAGTCTCTACCCAAACATGAAACCTCAGCATTATAGCCAAGCAGTTGGAAACTTCTGGAAACTTCTGGAAGCTACATGCTACAAAGAATACTTCATCAGCGTTTGTTAAAGGAAGGATCAGTAAAGAGTAACTTATTGATGGACGTCAGGATTTTTCTTCCTCCATTTCTCAAGTGTAAGTACGTGCGATTAAAGTTGCCTCGTTGACTCTAGCTTGCAAATGTATTTAGTTGTGATTTGTTACTTGTAACCGCGTGTACTATATCAGGTTAACTGGCTTTATTCTCTTATCGCGTGCAAAGTCACGTTAAAAACGCGACGCGTGCTGCGTTAACGGAGCTCCGTGGACGAGGAGTAGTGTGTGTGTCTGTGTGCGCGCGCGCTGTCGTCCGGAGGTGTGTGTGTGTGCGCGCGCGCGTTGTCGTCCGGAGCAGGGTTAAGTGTGTGTGTGTTTGTGCAATATGTGTGTGTGTGTGTGTGTCTGTGAAAAGAGCAGAGTGAGAAGCTAGGAGATCTCCTCAACTGCTTTTGGAGTTTTTGCTCAATAAAATAGTTAGTCGTCTGTATTTTCAAGTCCATAGTCTGTATTTACATTGACCCACTGGCAGCTAAACTCCACGCCTACACTATCGAGCGTGTATGAACTGTGATTACTTTTATATTGCTGATTAGCTGTTTGGCATTTCACTCTGACTGAAGGCAGTCGACCAATCGCAACAGACTGTCATTGGTCCAATCAGCGCAGATTAGCTTCGCGCTAAGGAGGGGTTTGGGAACAAATGAATCACTGGACGATTCATACAGGAGTCGCTGGGATAATTAGGTAAAAATAAATGCAGATTATAAGACCATGAAAGTGTTTTTTGACCTTGCATGCATATTAAACTGTTGTTGGAGACCCTTACAACAAAGATATGACCCTATTTCATGTATAATATGGGCTCTTTAAAAACGTTATCATGCTTATATAAATTAAACCTAACATTCGATCACCACATCCAGAGCTGACGCACTAAAGTCTTTCTCCACACACAAATCTGTCAGCATGTTTGAGTTGGCTGAACGATGACTAAGAACTCTAAACAACTTGTTTTGTTTTTTCAGATTTAGAATCTCACGAGTATAACACACATTACAGAGTGTTTTGAGTTTATTGCCATTTCAGCTTCTCTAGATATGTTATGGCAAAACAAACAAACAAACAAACAAACAAACAAATATCACTTTTCTATAAAAAAATAAATGTTATAACAATAAAATATACAAAAACAGCAATTGATAATACATAAAATTAGTTTTTAAAGATTTTGACTTGACAAAAATTCGACCATTATTCAAAGACTTTTTTTATTCAAAGTTGTCTGATAATATTACAAACAGGGCAGTTTAACTTCAAAAGCAAAACTTTTTTAACAGAACTGCACCTGAAGAGATGCAGTATAGATTCTGAACAGAATGCAGCTTTATTTAAGCGTGTTAATAAATCGGAATAACTATAGATCACGACTGTAAGCTTATCGCCTACAGTACTTACAAGATAAAGCTGTTCTGTTTTTCTTACTAAAAGATGTTGCAGCTGTACAGTGGAAGAACTGAAACTCACCAACAGAGGCGGGCATCTCCCCCCACTGCAGCACTGTCTCCTTGGTGATGCGGCCATAGGTGTCAATATAGACGCCCTCGTCCTCGTAACACAGCAACAGCTCCATCCCACTGCTGCTGGGGAGGATGATGATGGCATGAGGCCGAATCAAACCTTGGATCTGAAACACACAGAGACTGTTATAAGAACAACAACAGCAACTGGCTTCATAAATGGAAATTGACCACCAGCCAATGTCAGCATTTCTATTACTTTATTAATGGATTTGAGAATTAAAAAAAAAAAAATTTAAGTGAAATGTAACATCAGTAGCAAGATTTCGGCAAAAAACTGACACTTTTTTTTAGATACAAATGCATCAGAGTAGTATATTAAAATGTTTTGTTAGTTTTTTTAAAGAGAGGAGTAGATAAGACAAAAATGGAAAAGCAAATAGTGTGAATTGGAAGAACAAACACTTGTCTGAAGTTATACTGTTATATTATTCTGACTGTTATATAAGGCTGAAATAATAAAGGGGTGGTCCACTATGATATTATATTTTAATCAACATCTCTGAATGTAATACGCTCAAGGTTTAATGCAAAGGGAGACATTGGGTTTTGCAGTTAGATTAGCAAAGCCTACAGCGAATGAAGTCTGTGGACTACAAAAAAATACATCCGGGTCAATGAGATCACAAGGGCTTTAGGTTACGGGCATACACCCCGTGCAGCAATGTTAGCTTCTGTTTTTTGTATTTGGGCTTCCAAAGGACACGACACAAAGAGAGAAGTGCTTACAGTTCAATTTTTGTTATGTTCCAGAGAATTATAAAAAATATATAGCTAGCACTTGACAAAGGACAGCTTCAAGAATCTCTTAAAGTTCAGTGCCGGATTTGGCTAAAACTTCTCCAACAGACGAAGCTGTGGATTGTGAGCCACAACCTGTAAGTATTATTATATGTTAAAATTGATCTGCTACAGGCACTACAGTTTCTAGTGGTAATGGTATGTTGTACAATTTACAATGGCACCAATAACAGTTTAGCAACAAATTCATATTCATCAGTCAAACTGCTGTAAACAGCCACAATATTCAGCAGCGAGTGCAGTGTCTCTCTATGTGGCCGCTTTCCGTGCCTTCTACATTTCAAATAAAAAAACTCACAATAGATATGTGAACGTTTCATGTTACTTACACATGCTTATTCCGAATATATGTAAAAGACACGTGTCAGATTTTATTTTAGAGACTGTTCATCAGGCACGTGCACACATAGGGCTCAACCTGTGCAGTGCACATGCCCTTTTTAGTCCTGGACAGAAAGTGCCCCCACGACACACACCCCCCCCTCCCCCCGCACACTTTACAGGACACGCATGACAACACTGCTGATCAGAACGCGCGCGACAACAGCGCTGATCAGAACGCGCGTGACAACACCGCTGTTCAGTACGCGTGACAACAACAACAACAACAACAACAACAGACTTCAACTTCACTTCCCCGTCTGGCAAAGAGGTGGTAATGTCTGCTACAACTGCACCAAAACTGGTGAGGTATGCTGCCTGAATTCTGGTCCTGGAGGTAAAAGGTTAAGCCCATAATTTTCTCTGTTTCAGCATGGTTTCCATCCCTACTGTCTCCACCATGTTGCTCTCCATATCCACTAGCTCCATCTTGGTTTTCCGTCTTTGTTATTGGCTATTTACCACCTTTAGTGGTCTTCTGCTTTGTCTTGGTTTCATGCTTCACAAATTCTCCAATATTCTTCAGGTCATTATTTTTGATGACAACAATTTGCCGTGTAGGCAGCGCGGTGGCACAGTGGGTAGCGCTGTCTCCTTTGCAGCAAGGTCGGTGGTTTGAGCCTCGGCTGGGTCAGTTGGCATTTCTGTGTGGAGTTTGCATGTTCTCCTCGTGTTTGCGTGAGTTTCCTCCAGGGGCTCCGGTTTCCCCCACAAGTCCAAAGACATGCACAATAGGTGAATTGGGTAGGCTAAACTGTTCGTAGTGTGTGTGAATGAGTGTGTATGGGTGCTTCCCAGTGATGGTTTGCAGCTGGAAGGGCATCTGATGTGTAAAACATATGCCGAATAAGTTGGCGGTTCATTCCACTGTGGCGACCTCTGATTAATAAAGGGACTAAGTCAAAAAGAAAATAAATAAATGAATGAATTTGCAGTGTGACAGCTACAATACTAGGGTGTTGGTTGCGAATGTGTTGCTAAATTAATTTTTTTCTGCAATACCATGCTAAGGTTTTGTTTTATTTGTATTTGTTTTATTTATTTGTTTGGATTTTTGCCAAAATCTTGGTCAATTTCATGTCAACAACTCCTTTAGAAATATCACTAGGAAAATCATGCAATACTTATTTTACCCACCATCTGCAAAATTATGCAAAATTAAGTTGCTTTTTAGAGAGGTTTTATTGAAGTTACTGTCCACCCTAAGCCACAATAATTTATTTTCAGGTCTCTGGATACAGAAAATACTTAATTTCTTTAACCCAGATCATTGGCTGCAATGTGACAATAACAAACCAGAGAATTTAAAACATCATTCAAGTTAAATGCAATACATATTAGTATTCATTCATTTTCCTGTCGGCTTAGTCCCTTTATTAATCTGGGGTTGCCACAGCGGAATGAACCGCCAACTTATCCAGCAAGTTTTTACGCAGCGGATGACCTTCCAGCCGCAACCCATCTCTGGGAAACATCAACACACACATTGACACACACACTCATACACTATGGACAATTTAGCATACCCAATTCACCTGTACCACGTCTTTGGACTGTGGGGGAAACCGGAGCACCCGGAGGAAACCCACGCGAAGGCAGGGAGAACATGCAAACTCAACACAGAAACGGCAACTGAGCCAAGGTTCGAACCAGCGACCCAGCGACTTTCTTGCTGTGAGGCGACAACACTACCTACTGCGCCACTGCCTCGCCCACATATTAGTATGACAGATTAATAAAAAATACTAAGAGCTGCCCTACTTGTTAACTGTAATGCATTTGACATTATGAAGATTCATTCATTATCACAAACTAAAAAGATGTCAATCGACTGACCATGTTAAAATCCAACACTTCTAAATCATTTTAAAGTTATGCCATACCTTTTGTCTTAGCAAATAAGAAAATTTTTACCACTTCTTACAAGCAAGTTCATCACATAAAAAAGTAGAATTGATATTCTCAATCATTGTATTTACATGCGTTTCATTAACACAATCACACACCTCCCACAGTACTTGCCTGACTCAAAAATACATTCACACACACTGTGCTGCCATCCCTCTGTAGAGCCACCACAATCCTGAGCATCAACACGGGCATCCAGAGCCGCAGAGCGATCTTAATCCTCTGCCGCGGGATTCTCATGAGCGCCAGCCACGCAAAAACACCACCGCAAACAAGAAGGATTGTGTTTCCAAGTGGGAGAGGAAGATTTACACCACGCAAAGAGCAGCTTGAGCGCAGAAAGAGTTTGCTTGAAACTTATGAGTGAAATACAACGAAAAGGAAGGAAAAAAAGGAGTGCGAGTGAGAATGTGAAAGAATGAACAAGAGTGAGAGTAAGCATGAACAATAGTATGGGAGGGAATGGATGAGAAGACGTTCTTATGGAAAGCTACATGATCTAGTGCCGCCCAGCCTCCAGTTCTGTTTCATACCGCTAGTTCACTCTAATTTTATCCACAGCCTGTTATTAGAAGAAAAAAAGCTGTCAGATAACAGGTCATCTCAATGGGCTTTTGCTTTGGGACCGTAGCGAAGGCTGCAGAGGTATTTTTGGATGAGAGATCAGTTTGGAGAAACTAGCACACACACACACACACACGCGCACAGATGTGAGGGTGAACTGGTCTTCGAGTATGTGGGACAGCACGCTGGATTGTGGGCTGGCAGTAGGAGGCGGCGGCACAGCCGTGGGTGAACATTACAGTCATCACTCTTCTTCTCTGGAAAGGATACGCTGCTGTGTGGGTGTGTGGGGACGTTAGGAATGGAGTGAAATGCAGCTCTATATCATCGTTTTTCTCACATTATTTATGTAGCTGTGCATATTATTTACACAATGTCTACATTTTAGAGTTTTAATGAAAAACTATGCATGGAATTTTTTTTTTTTATTGAAGGATGGATCTCACAGTATACTGTATGCTTATGCAGGCTTCACACACATTTTGACTACAAAAATTCTAGGACTTTCAAGTTAATTTTCATGACCTAATGTTTCATGTAATGTCTACGTATAAGTGGTAAATCATAAAAAAAACTATGAATGTTTGAATTCATTACAGGATATCATAAAACACGCAACAATCTCGTTACTTTCAATTTATTGTTATATCTATGTAAAATAGATGATGCTTACACAGCACTAATGATGTAAGACCATGTTTTTGGCCGAGAAAAGAAGTAAAAATAACTAACCTCCATTCCAGTATACAGATATTTGTCAAACTAACTTTAGTTAATAGTTTGTTAAGCTAGTAATAGTAGGTAAAACTACTACTATTGTAAAGCTGCGATCACACTGCATTTATCGCTCCATAGACTTCCATTCATAGGCATGCGAATGTGACAGACCAGAAACATAAACACGTGCGACAAGTTTCACATTTCACTTGGAAAATTCCAAAGTTGAAGCTTGGTGAATTCTTACCTGCGAAATCGCACTACGTGATTGTGTTAGACTAGAAGATCATTTAAAATAAGAAATTTAAAATATGGAGCAATCGCTCACGTTTATTAATGTCTAATGATATTGTTATACTCCACACCTTTTCGCAGCACCGTACGACAGAATTTCGCAAGCACAAGCTCTAGCGTGACCGCAGCTTAAGTTGCTTGGACAAAAACGTCTGCTAAATGATTAATGTTAATGTAATTTCTATGATTTTTCCAAAACCTTGTGGGTTTTTCTGTTTTTCCGAAAAATGTTCCTGGCCTGGAAAAGGCCATGTCAAAATTCCATGACCTTTCCAGGTTTTACATGATCGTATGAACCCTGTTGTCACATTTCACCACAAACATCTAAATTATTTTGATTGACTATTTTGTAGGGTATCTGCAGGTTTGCTAAATTTAGGACTTTTTAATACCACACCGAATGAAATTTAAGACCCACTAAATAGTATAAATTTTATAGTAGATTATTTGCTAAAAAAAGCACACAACTCAAGTAACTAATTACCATCCCCAGTCCATCTAGTTTTATTGTGTTCCGCCTACTTTGTTCTGGGTGACAAATATAAATAGATTTTAAAACAAAAATAAAATTTTCTTTGTAGGGTCGGTTTGATTGCATTTTTAACCCTTATGTGCTGTTGGGGATGTTTTCATTTACTCTGAGGTGATTTTGAGTCTTAATTTGCCCATAACTTTTTTTCTGAAATCATTCAGCTAGTAGAATGATTTTGATGACAAGTCTTATTTGGACATATATTTCGGGAAAATGCTCGGGGAAAAAAAACACCTCAACAATAAACTTGAGCAAACTTACTAACCTTTTGTTATGTTCGGGATGAGAACATCCACTGAATTAAATTGCTGTAAAAATGCATCAGATAATGTATTTTTTTTTTCAATTTCTTTTGTATAAATCTGTTAATTAACCTCATTCCAGATCAAAACAACTAAATTGCTTAGAAAATTACAAGATATTTACTCTTTAATTGCCAAATTTATAAATGATGTCACTGATTTGATGTAAAAGAACACACAAAATGTCGTATTTTTCAATATAAAAAGTAATTGTTGACTGGATTTAAAAAAAAAAAAAACTTTTAATCACAGTCTTGGACATGTGAAACAACATTGCTTTGATGGCTTGTTTTTGGTTGATTTTCATTGTTTTCATTTGTGGCTCTTGCAATTACATATGAACTCCCTCTGGACTTGTGTAACCCTGATTTACCAAATTGAATTGATGCACTCAATAGCACTTTTAATAATTTAGTTTTTGTATAGTTGCAGAGCAGTGCATGATGGGTTACTCACATGACTGGGTAGGTAAAGATCAAATGGAGTCCCTGAGTCCACATCGATAGCATGGAAACCGTTGTGAGACCCATAGATGACCTTTAACCTCTGTCCATTCTCCACCGTCAGGTCCACGGAGAGGGGCTTCTGAGGCAGAGAGCTGAAGGACTGACCAAACATAAAGAACAATTTACTCAACTGCTGAGTATAAACAAACTGAACACACAATGATTACAAAAAATATGCTTTTTATTTATAATTTTACCCTCCTTGAGTTTTTTCTTTAACACATTACAGTAAAATGATTTTCCTTTCTGAAAATTGTGTTCTTATTCAAATATTTCCCAAGTGCTGTTTATTTCAGAGCAAGAACATATTTTTACAGTATTTTTTATTATACTTTCTTCTTTTTTTCTAGTTTGGCTTGAATAAAAGCCATTTAATTTTTTTAACATAGATTTTAAGGTTAATATTATTATAAGATTTAGTTTTTTTGATTGGCTAAGGAACAAATCACTGTTATTGTGTAGTGACTTGCTTAACCTAAATAACCTAGTTAAGCCTTCAAATTGCACTTTAAGCTAAATACTTGCAAAATAACTAGGTTACCTAAATTACTATTAGTCAAGCATGTACTAATATGTACTGTCATCATGGCAAAGACAAAATAATTAAGTTATTAAAAATGGCTGTTTAAAATGCATTGAAAAAATCTTTTCCTCACTAATATTTGAAAAATAGGGAAACTAAAACTAATAATTTCACAGGAGGTTTAATAATTTGGCCTTCAATTGTGTGGTTTACCTTCAGGTCTAACACAAGTGTGTTACTAATTTTGTAAATCCTTACAAAACAAGCCTCATTTTGTAACCCAACTTACATTAAAACATTTTCCAGAAATATGCAGTTAATTTGTGATGTGTGAACAGAACTGCAAATTGAGATGTTTGTTGTCATGTCAGATATCCTAAAACATTTCTCAGCACTCAAACAAATTTCAAGCCCAAACTGTTTGACACCAAACTTTCAAAAGAATCCAGCAGATACAAGTAACATTGTAATTAGTAATGTTTTCTATTTACATTTGTTCCCATAAAAGTGTTATAAATACAAATGGTTGAAGATCACGTCAGAACTAGAGTTAGTCTCTAAGGACAGCCGTGAAGTAGGACACGTACTCAAAAATGACCCATTTCTAAAAACACCCCGGTTGCATTATCTATCTTTATGCGATCCTATTCTTTTTCAAATGAAAGAATCTGTATATGTAGACAGAAGTTAATTCTAAAATATAAAGTTGGATAGGTAAAACCCTAACTGCATCCCTTAAAAGCACTAGAAATAAAGTACTATAAATCTCAGAAACCTGATTAAGGTTATATTTTTCAACTCAGGATCAATCATTGTGAAACTGCAAAAGTGTACTCATACATTCATTTTACTGCAATATCCAGATGAAATAAACACTAGAGGCAGTAAATCACTAACAACTTTTATCCTTTTCCCACAAAATATGATTATGAGCTATATTAATAAAGGGTTCTTTACGCAATGTTCTTTTTGACCTCAAAACACTTTTACCACATTTGTTAAGCAATAAATTTAGTGGTAATCACATGAACAGCGACCAGCTCTATATCTAGGGTTTACTAAAGCAATAAAAAACAAATAAACAAAAAAAATATATGAATAATTAAATATAAAAAATAAATATACATAAAATTTAAAATAAATATAAATAAGAAAAAAATAAATAAGATAAATAAATATTAATTAATTTATATGAATATCTATCTATTTATATATCTATCTATCTATCTATCTATCTATCTATCTATCTGTCTATCTATATATATATATATATATATATATATATATATATATATATATATATATATATATATATATAATATGAAGTATATGTAAATGAATTATGGACAAGCAAAATTGTGCATTAGGGAAATCAGAATGATACATATAATTTATTTATTTATTTGTATTCATATAAATTAATTAATTTATATGTATTGTATTTATCTTTTCTTATTTATATTTGAATAATAATATATATGTGATAATATATGAATAAAATAAATAAATACACAATAAACGTAAATAAATAAATAATAATAAATAAAATTAAAACAATCACTCCCATTTTTATTCCCACATCTGTAATAGAAAATAAAACAAATAACAAAATATAAATAAATATGAATAAAAAAATATATAAATTGGAATAAAATAAATAAATACGATGAATATAAATAAACAAATAAATAAATGTCAATCATTCTCATTTCCCTAACGCACAATTAAGCTGGTCTAAATTTGGAATCCATTATTCATCAAATCCTACAAAAATCAGTGTTGAGACATAAATCTGCATAGCCAACTACTGATAAAAATATTCCCATACTGCATACATGCTTTACAATTTCAATTATGTATCACTCTTTTAATATCATTTGCTCTCTTTTTGACTCAAAATATGGCCCAGAATTGTCCTCTGCAGCCTTTGTGAGATTTGTTCGGTTAATCAATATTCCTAAAATTATCATCATCTCCATTATAATGCGAGACTTACTTTGAAAGCCATGAACTTGTGATATGGCTTTGGAGCCCAAGCGTAGACCTCCACAGCATTCCTCAAAGCGATGACCAGGAACTTGATTTTTTCATAGCGAACTGCAATCATCAGCAAGTTATAACGAAAAGAAATCAGAATTCAAAAGGAACACACTACCTCTATTGTGATCGCATGAGACATTTAGCATTTACCAACTCACTCCAATTCATAATAAAATGTCATGAAAAATCTCCAAACCAAACCAAATACAAATTGGACTGACTGTTAACTATGAAAATCATCCTAGATAATTTTTTTTCTCTTCTGGTTTGCTTAATGGAGTTTACTTGGTCCGTTTATGCAAAATACTATATTAAAAGACATTCCTACATTTGAAGTCAAAATTATAAGCCAGTATCATTCACAGCATGTCCTATAATATTTTTTTCTTCTGAAGAAAGTCTTATTTGTTTTATTTCGGCTAGAATAATCAGTTTTTAATTTGTTTAAAACCATTTTAAGGTCAATATTATTAGCACATTACACAACGGTTTGCCTAATTACTCTAACTTGCCTAATCAACCTAGTTAAGCCATTAAATGTCACTATAAACAATGCTGGTAAGTTGAACAACGACTAGTAAAATATTATTTCCTGTCATTATAGCAAAGATAAAAGAAATCAGTTATCAGAAATGAGTTATTAAAACTATTATGTTTAGAAATTTGTTGAAAAACATAATAAAAATTGAGGACTGAAATAATTCTGACTTCAACTGTATGTAATTTAGCTTACCTTCAATGTGCTAAAAACAGTTTAGCCCAATAAAATCTCTTGATTTCTCGCACACTGATGGTTGTTGGTAGAGTTTATTAGAACCAGAAATGTAACGAGTATAGAGATCAGTTCTAGACTCACCTACTTTGTAGCTGACACATCCCTCCAGGTCCCCCACAGAGGTCCAGCCCTGTTTCTTTTCCACCTCTGGATCATTATGCAGGATCTTATTCCTCAGCCATGACAGGTAGTACAGCCTCAGCTTGTTTTTCTTACCTTTCCACAATAAAAAACGAATAAAGGAGATTCAAGCTATGCATACACATACTGAGTTTGGAGAGATTAAACAATCCACTTTTTCCAGAAATAGGCTCATTTCTGTCAAGACAACTCTTGGAGAGATTTAGTATGGTAATAAATTTGCATATGGCTGTGTGGATGTGTTTGGTCTTGGTGGAGTAGATCTGCTACGCAGCTGCTGCTGCTTTAATTATTACGGGAGGGCAAATACAGAGACTTGCTACTATCAATATATTCAAAGACATACAGTCTGCGAATATTCAGGGTTTATACACTTTTTTACTACTAAAATTCTATGACTTTTCCAGAATTTTTTATATAAATATTCATGACCTAATGTTTCATGTAATGTATACATGGTAGATAATAAGAAAAACAATTCACAATCAAATTTATTACAGTATAACATAAAAGACGCAACAATCTATTTAGTTTAAATTTATTTTTGTATCTAAGTGAAATACATTTAGATGATGCTTACACAGCATTAATAATGCGAGACTCTGTTTTTGTCCGAGGACAGAAAATAAGTAGACAACTGACATATTTTCAAGTACAAAAATATTTGTTAAACTAATCTCCATGTCTTTTCCAAAACTTTGTGGGTTTTTCTGTTTTTCCAAAACCTTCCAGGCCTGTAAAAGTGCATGTTCAAAACTTTAAACCCTGAATATAACACACTGCTGCTGCAAACATAATATATATGTAACCCTTCTAGCAGGTCTAAACACAGGTGGAGCTGGGGTGGAGGAGGGTCTTCGAATAACGTAATGAAACATTCCAGCGTAGAACGACACTGCGCATTTCAAATACTAAGGAGCAAGCTGACTGGCTGTTGAGGCGACAGAAACCAATCTTCTGCGCCATGTATTTAATGATGCAGGAGCAGATTAGGTGACCTTTTAGCCTGCTGTAAACATAATATATATATGTAACCCTTCTAGCAGGTCTAAACACAGGTGGAGCTGGGGTGGAGGAGGGTCTTCGAATAACTCAAATGCAACATTACAGCGTAGAACAACACTGAGCATTTCAAATACTGAGGAGCAAACTGATTGGCTGTTAAGGCGACAGTAACTAATCTCCTGCGCCATGTATTTAATCACGCAGGAGCAGATTAGGTGACCTTTTAGCTTAAGCGCACAAAGAGTTTCACGACAGAACTTTGTATTCTACAAATCACCTAGAGTTAAATAGTTGAGTTTTATTATATTTAAGCTATTTTTTAAAAATGTTTGAACAGTAAAGTTACGAATAGTTTAAGCAAATTACCTATTATTTGACATTAATATTCACAATGAGCTGTTTACCTTAATCACACAACATAAAAGACAAATTACAGAATACAAGTGTATGGTTAAAAACTAATTTAGACAAATACATGTGCTTGGTTTTAGACTTGTTTGTATTAGAACTGTTTGTATTAGGTGGAGTTTAAACATACAAAATACTGGATTCAAACCAGAACCAGTGACTGGTAGACAAATATCACTTTGGTAGACAAATTGGTGGACAAATATTATATAAAAAATGTAACTTATACTATAAAAAATGATTCACAATGTAGTTAATATTTAGTTTCCTGACAAATTAATTGTCAAAGGCATTAATTGAATATAGTTTTAGCCAAGTTGTAACCTCAAGGTCTTACATGGAGACTAGTTTGATATCAGTTTATAAACAGAAAAAGTTGTTTGTAAAAATTTGATACAAAAATGAGATACTGTATTCCTTTCTGTACCGATAATGAGGAGTATTGTGTAGCTGCATTTTTCGATCTTGCAAAAGCTTTTGACTCTGTGGACCATGAAATTCTACAGGATAGGTAAAGATTTACTGGACAATCTGAGAGCAGTCTGGTCTGGTCGTCAACAATCAGTAAGGGTAAAGGGGTTTCTGTCAGATCCCCTGCTGCTTCATAAAGGGGCCCTACAAGGTAGCATATTGGGGCCTACACTTTTTAACATTTATGTTAATGATATCGTTTCTGCTGCAGGTGATTCTTACATACATCTATACGCTGATGATACCGTCATCTATACATATAGTTTTTCTCTGAATACAGCACTTTCTTCACTGCAAGCCATTTTAAGCATCCAATGCAATTTACCATCCTACATTTAGTTTTAAATACAAATAAAACAAAATATATGGTTTTTAATGGAAATCTACCACATGTTGAGTTTCCTTCTAAATCTTCCTTATTGGACGATACTGAGATTTATATGTGGTTAGATGGTAAACTGTCATTTGAAACTCACATAAATGAACTGCTCAAAAAGGTTAAAGCCCGGATTGTTTTCTTTACAGAAACAAATCTTTTTTTACGCACTCTTCAAAGCAGCATTTGGTCAAATTAACATTATTACCAACTTTGGATTATGGGGATTTAATTTACAGATCAGCTTTAAAAACTCTCCTTCACAAAGTGAATGCTATTTACCATGCAGCAATTCGATTTGTTACTGGTGCGCCATTTAATACTTATCACTGTCAACTATATTCTTTATTGAATTGGCCTTCTCTTCAAGTTTTGTTCATTTACAAAACTCCTATTGGGAAAACAATATATGTACAGTCACTTATTAACATTAAGAAAACATGTCAAAATCTGTACTCTAATAGTTTTATTAACCTTTGCATACCCAAAGTTTGCACTTCAGTTGGTTGCTACCTTTTTCAGTTTTCTGCTGCTGATGCTTGGCTTTTTATGTTGCCTCTTGGCCAGGTCGTCAATATAAATGAAAACTGGTTCCCAATTGACTTAGCTGGTTAAATAAAGGTTATTATTATTACTATTACTATTATTATTATTATTATTATTATTATATTTAGCTTAATAACCAATAAAATTGTTAATCATTAGCAAAATCATAGAGCGCCATCTGCTGTTCAAAACTAAGCACAGAATACAGTGTTTCCTCTAGGATTTTTTCCAGCTGTGGCGGCAGGTCTTTTACACAAATCTACCAACTTCCTATGCCGTTATTTCAATAAAAAATGGAGAAATGTGGTGAGCACAGTATTACAGGTTTTTGGGATCTCATTTTATGCATGCCAATTGTTTTGCTTGCGTGCCGATTTCCTCAGCTCGTGCACAAAACTTCTTGCACGCCCCCTCAAACACGCTGCTCAAGTGCAGATCTTCTTGTGGCCTCTCAAATAAACACTGCTGAAGTGCAATTTAGTGCATTTATGTTACAAGTATGTTTCCAACATTTATTACATTTGCTAGGAATGTTTCGGAATGTATCCAATAGACCTACAGCGGCATTAATGCGTCCTGAAGCAAAGTGAAATGGCTATAAACCCCAGCGAGATAATTCTTTGTATGCAGACAAAGCCATAGACCTTTATCTATAAATAAAGTATAATTATGGAAACTGTGTTCATCTTAACTGAAAGCTACGTTGTGTTTGCTGGCCTCACGCATCACACACCTGTCAGTAAGTCAGACAGTCTGTAACCTTAAAGTGTTAAACAAATAGCGCACAGCACTACTATGGTAACAGAAAAGTTTGCGCTGTTATTCACTTACCTTTTAATGCATTTTGGTGCGATTATAACCTGCTATTCAAAACAACAACAACAACGACTGAATGTTTTGAATTAATAAGAAGCTGTAATGTAGCCGTGGCGGGAAGAATTTTGGTGTGGCGCCCCGCCATGGAAGAATGAATGTAGCGGAAACCATGGAATAGATTAAATTTAGAATAGAGAAGCATTTAGAAAATCTCAGAATCAAATTCTCCAATGATTTTTCACAGCAGCTTTAAAAGCATGTAACAAAACAATGTTTGGATTTGGCTTAATAATCTGAGAAATGCACATCTTCTATTAAGTTCCGCAGATGAAAGTGACACATATTTAAAATTACTCTGCTGTGGTAAAGTGGTTTATGTACTGTATGTACCTGATATAGTAATGAGTACATTGAGGCCCTCCAGCACGTCCATCTGTTGGAAGCGTCTGCGACTGATGAGAGAGTAAACTTTACCCTGACCACTGCGGTCCAGCAGCCACAGGCCATTCTCTGTACCCACCAACAAATTCACACCTAAATACACACCACACACACAAAAAGACAAGACAGACAGACACACACACACAAATCAGTCAAAACACTAATCTGCTTGATATAGGAGCATGCATTTCAGGGTTCAGGGTCAAATATGAAATTCCCCAAGTTTCACTGATTAAAAAGCTGAACTTCCCTGACATCCAATAAACAAATAAACAAGCCGCTTTTCATAGTATTAAAATAGTTTAAGGATGAATATTATTTAAGTCACTATTATAACAACAACTAACAACTTACCACAGATTTGGAAAGCAAACAAATAAGCAAAGTTGATAGCTCTATAGTAGTTTTACATTTCGCTTTTCTGTCGTCTACTTCTTAACCGACTTCGAAGTGAAGCCAAAACTCTTAAAATCGATATTTTCCTCTGTGTTAGCCGTACTTAACAGGTACAAAATTCACCTTTAGACGATATAAACATCCAAAGCTTGCAGTTTGCCCCTTCTGCCTAAAATCACCTCATATTTCAGTTTCCCATCAAACTTCTGATCTATCAAATGCTCTGTAGTATCCGACATGTCTTGCCCCCTTCAAGTCGCTTCACATTTCACAGCAAGTTTTGTTTTTATGCGCTCAATGACATCAAAGTAATTTCTGTATTTCCACTTGAAGAAGCAACCACTCTCGATGGCAATCATTTTAGCTCGCGTTCTCCAACAATTTAAAAGCGCCTGCTTAATACCTGACGTTGCAGCAGAAAATGTGATTTAAAAAAACATTTTTTCTTCTTAAAACTATATTTTAACACAACTACCACAATTAAACTGACTTTAGTAACTGTAGTCAAATTTCACAAATTTAAAATGTAATTTGTTACAGTACTGCATTTCTCAAAATTGTAATTAGAATACAGTAAAGAGTTACTGTGAAACACGTTACACCCAACAGCATTATATAAAAATACTATAAAGAAAAATTACATTTAATTGAATCAAAATTAAGCAAAAATCCTTGATTTTCCATGACTTGAAATATCTGAAATAGCCTTTTAAAATTCCATAACATTCCAGAAATTCCATGACCCGTGGAAACCCTGGCAACAAAATGCTATTGGCTGTTTTTTTTTTATAAGGGGAGGAGCTACTATGTCCCGCCCTGTCTTTATGTTTCAATAGAGATTACGTCAAACACTGAATAAAAAAATGCACATTTCAAAAGCACTTTTAGATCTACAAGTTTCCAACCATAAAAAAGGAACGTAACAGCATTATATAAGAATACATTATAAGAAAATTAAAGTGACAAATTCCTGATATTCCATGACTTGGCCAAAAAAAAAAAAAAACTCTCGATTTACAATGTCTGGAATAGACCTTTTAAAATTCCATATTATCCCAGAAATTCCATGACCTGCGGGAACCCTGGCAACAAAATGCTATTGGCTGTTTCTTTGAAAAGGGGAGGAGCTACTATATGTCCCGCCCTGTATTTATGTTTAAATAGAGATAACGTCAAACATTGAATTAAAAAAAAAGCACATTTCAAAGCACTTTTAGATTGATAAGTATCCAAACATAAAAAGACATTTAACAGCATTGCTGCAAAAAAATGCTTTTCTTACGTAGATTTTTTGTCTTCTTTCTAGTCCAAATATCTTAAAACTCTTAAATCAAGAAGAATTTTCTAGACAACCAAAACATATCGTTTTGTTCTGAGAAATAATATGCTAAAATTAAGAGAGTTTTTCCTTAAAACAAGCAAAATAATCTGCCAATGGCGTAAGCAAAATAATCTTGTTTTTCCTTTTGACATAAGATTATTTTGCTTACCCCATTGGCAGATTATTTTTACTTGTTTTAAGGAAAAACTCACTTAATTTTAGCATATTATTTCTGAAAACAAGACAATATGTTTTGCTTGTCTAGAAAATTCTTCTTGATTTAAGACTTTTTAGATATTTGGACTAGAACCAAGATAAAAAAAATCTAAGAAAATCATTTTTTGCAGTGTATAAGAATACTTTATAAGAAAAAAAAAAAAACATTAAATGGAAACTAAAAATTAAAGTGATAAACAAAGATCCCTGATAATCCATGACTTGGCCAAAAAAAAATAATAATAATAATAATTATTGAATTACAATGTCTGGAATAGACCTTTAAAAATTCCATGATATTCTAGAAATTCCATGACCCGCAGGAACCGTAGCAACAAAATGCTATTGGCTGTTTTTTTAAAGGGGAGGACCTACTTTATGTCCCGCGCTTTTTAATGTTTAACACACATTTCAAAGCACTTTTCTAAGTTCTAACCATAAATTTATGCAACAGCATTATATAAAAATACTTTTATAGAAAAAAACATTAAATGGAAACTAAAAAATAAAGTGATAAACAAAGAGCCCTGATATTCCATGACTTGGCCAAAAAAAAAACCTAATTCCCAGATTTACAATGTCTGGAATAGACCTTTTAAAATTCCATATTGTTCCAGAAATTCCATGACTCGTTGGAACCCTGGCAACAAAATGCTATTGGCTGTTTTTTTGAAAAGGGGAGGAGCTACTATAAGTCCCACCCTCTCTTTAGGTTTCAGTTGGAATTACATCAAACATTGAATAAAAAACAGCACATTTTAAAGCACTTTTAGACCTTTAAGTGTCTAACTATAACAATAAATGTGAAACAGCACTATATAAAATATTATACAGTGATCCCTCGTTATAACGCAGCTCACTTTTCGCATTCTCTCAGTTTCACAGAAATTTTTTGTGCAATTTAACATGCTTTTTTCTACAGCTCATTGTGTTTTGTGTCCTGATTAGTGCATTGTGTTTTGCGTCCTGACTGGCTGTAGATGATTGTCAATCAATCTCTTCTGTGCGGTGTCTCCTGTACAGTACAGAATGCATTCAACTTGCCAAATTTATAATAAATCTTTGATCGCTAGCAGTGCGACTCAGAAGTGCTTTACTGTATGTTCGCAAGTTTTCTCCCCACAATGTCGACGGAACCTTCTGCACTGTCAAAGGCACCTACAGGGCTGATAGTGGAAAAAACTCCTGAGCCTGAACTTTTTTTCCTTGCCCCTGAGGTGAGTAGGGGTGGGGGTACTATGTATGCAACGCACTTTTAACACATAACTTGTGGGCCCCTGGGCCCAAATATATTAACAGCCTATGTGTAACCCTGATCATCATTATTGTCAAGTGGCTCTTTTTAGACACATGCCAGTAATGTCAGTGACACATGCCAGTGTCAGTGATCTTGTGTCATGTGCCAGTAGGTGTCAGTATAAGCACGTTATAAGCACATTAATGTTATAAGTCTCTTTGCTTTAATATTTAAAAATCATTAGGCAAATGACACCTGTTATCTTACATGCATATATGTTATGAGTTTTCAACATGCATTTTATTATAACTTTTTAAAGGATATTATTTAAAATACCTTAAAATGAAAATAAGTTAAATAATAAAATAAATGAATGAATTAAAAACATAGAGAAGTCCATATTGTAGGGAACAAAGGAACTGCCAGGATGCAATAATATACAGTACAACAGATAAGTGTAACCCCTCCCATACATAAGCATGCCACAATAAATTTGACTGACATGTACTGTCAAATGACTATATTACGTACGGAAGTATGACTACGAATACATAAAATAAATGCGTTTAAATTAAAACATCGTGGAGTAGCTCAGCAAATAAACTAACTTGCGACGCGATAAATTAGGTTAAAAGTCGCGTAATGATTAAATGTGGTTTTGCTCGTGTTAATTAATGTCATAAGCTTCGCCGGGTGTCGATGTCACTGCAGTGACATGCACCGCGACACTATGAGTGACACAGGTCACTACACATGCCACTAGCGAGTGACACATGACAGTGGAAAACCGGACGTGCCACCGGAAGTGTCACTACACTCAGTGGCATGTGCCAGTGTCATCTGTACGTCAGATGTCGTGTCACTCCATGTTAAAACTGCTACTGTGAATCCGCGTTCAAGCGCACACAATAAGCTAAAACTCGCCCCAAGCACCGGCAAAAACAAATAACAATGAATGTGTCGAGGAAAGAGTAAGGACATATCTTAATTATTTATTAATAAACTTATTCTGAGTCAGTGTCGCAAAGATCCTGACTGGCAATCTCATCTTGGACTCGCCTTTAGAAATTCATCTTTACGGATTACATGAAGGAGTTTTTTTGTTTTCGATTTGTTTTATTTCGTTAAGTAATAATTTAAAGCTTTCTATAAATATATTTATTATGTCTGTGAGGCATATACATTTTGCTTCATTTTGTTAAGCGCTCCTGTTCAAAAACCAGACGACAGAAAGCGCATAATTTTGGTTTTCTTTATTTTATAAAAACGCTGTAAGGTTTTTTGATGTATTACTCGTTCTTTGTGAGCAAAAATGACGGATAACTTTAAATTGCTCCCACTGAAAAAATGCAAGTGATTGCTCTGGCGCCTCGATGTCCTGCAAGCTTTTTATAAGCAAACTATGCGCCTAATAGCACACATTCTTTAACGTTTAAGCTACCATTGTTTTATACTTGAACTGTTTTATATCTTTTATTTTAGGCAAGTCGTGATGATCTGAGAAGGCAAACTGATCAAACAGACAATGATGGTCTTCCGCTGGGAGCTGTTCGTTAAAAAAAAAACTTATTTTTAACGAATAAAAAATGCTCCAAACGTTTTTCTAAATAAGCTGAATAAAAAACGAAACTAAATATAAACACTTTGCCATTAGGCTACATACAAAACTGAACTATTTCATAGCTGAAACACTAAGTTGTTTAAGGAGAAGGGGGAAATATATTTTTGTCCCGTCTATGCTTCACCGTTATTTCGAGAATAAACCCAGCGTAAATATGCAGATGTCATTCCCAAAACTTATCAGCGTATATGTGCCGAAAACGAAAGTTTCATACAAATTCTGAATGTATTATAGCCTGGAAAGTGCAAAGCACGCTCCTCTTATTATCACTAAAAAGCGTCACTAATCTTAGTTCATAGAGATCTCACAAAGATCCGTTATAATTTATAAAGCTCTCTAAATTACACAATTAATCTTTTATTTACATGGCGTCTACACTCAAAAGATGATTCACGAGCACACAAAATGGCACTTAATAAAAACCAATCCGGCGCTTTCAGCAGTGAGTGAATTCTGTGAATCTAGAGAAATGACAGATCAATATCCGTGAACCTGATTTTTTTTTCCCCGCAGCTAGGCTTGCCACGATAGACGGTGTTGACGGTGATACCGGTGTTAAGACGCAACACCGGTGACATCACTTTTCTACCGTGACACCGTCCCCACATTTGTTTTTTTTAGGTATTCGTTTTTTATTTTTTTTTATTAAAAATTTATTTAAAATAAATGGAAAATATAATTATAAATAATTGACTTAAAACGAGAGCATGCTCTATAATTAAAATCTAAACATAGCTACAGTGCGTCATATTTCATTTACCACGTGAGGAGAAAAGAGGAGTCGAATTTACAGAAAGAGGATGGCGGACGATTTATTGTCAAAACGCATTGCAAAAGCGCATGTTTGGCAAAATTTTGGGTTCAAACCAAATGCATAAGAGAACCTGACAAAGTTAATGAGGCAATCTGCAAACTTTGCCTGACAAAGGTGGCAGTATCTGGAAACATAACTAATTTATACACGCACCTTCATGTTTAACTATGGGTGGGTCGCGGATAGATCAATGGCCATAAATACGCAACGCATACTCTCATTTTAAAAAAAATCACGCGGCCATCATCTCACAATGTTTAATAATAAATATCTTTTTTTTAATGCCGCGCCATTGACAATCCAACTGCAGAGAAACATCGTGGTAACGTGAGGACTTTTTCCGAAGTTCAGCTGTTCTTATTTCCACTTGATTATGTGTTTAATGTAAAAAAAATTCATAATGTCTAGGCCAAAAAGATCGAATCCTGTGTGTGCGCGCATCTTTTATAACTGAGGCCGCTCTCTTCAAAAACCGAAAGTTGCTTTTTCTGTCTGGCAATATTTCGGCTTTTAATATATGAAAAGTTTATTTAGATGAGCCAATATTAAAAATTGCAATAAAGTAACTGAGACGTGCGGCCACACATCGAATCTGAGGACTGATTTCTCTCTCTCTCTCTCTCTCTCTCTCTCATTCAGACATCGAGCCACAACACAAGTCAAGTTGCAAAACTTAGGCAGGTGCAGCTGACAGGTAGAATAGCTGAAGCCTTTACGAAATCTGTCAAAATGCACCTCTGAAATTAATAGGCATAAATGTCTTTGAGCCAAAAAAAAAGTCTATTGGTAGGATATCTGTAAAAACGCAATTGGAGCCAAAGATATGAGTTGTGTAGCCTATAAATTATAGGCCTATTAATTCTAATAAAATGAAAACTAAAATTAAAAATTTATTGCATTTTTCATTTGATAAAAATATACGTAAACGAAAAAAAAATCAAAGGGTGGCTAATTTGTATTAATGTGTTTTAATTTTAATGAAAATATGCTCAGCATATTTAATTAACGGCTATACGCCGTCAATAGACAAGCCATTCAAAACATATTATTTTACCGTGTACTGGGCTATAATGTATATTTTACAATAAAAACTAAACGTAGCATGTCTCGCTGTCATTTAAAACGTGTAATTCATACCACACCAGAGCTGTGGACCTGTAGTGTTTAAACTTACAGGGCGGTTGGTCAATAGTCTTAATGCGCACTGAACTCCAATCCGAGGGACTCGATAGTTACTCGATAGACAACATTAACTTGAGAGAATTAAAAAATAAAAGTTTTTTTTTAAAAGGAACAACGCGCAAATCTGCAACAAATAAAATAAAAATAAAACGTCTTGGCAGTGCTGTGTGTATTCCGCCACTGACAGTGTGAGACGCCCTTATGCTGCGCCTGTAACTGCCGCTTGTAAGAGAGATCAAAGCTGTATCGATAAAACCAAAAAGCAAGATCATTTAGTTATAAATATTCCATAACAATACTTATCGAAATATTTATACATTTACATGTTGTTTATTGAAATTGTGTGATCTGTATAGGTTGTCTGATCTTTCCAGAAGCTGTAAACTGACACATGTGCGGTGATGTTTAGCTCTGACGAGGCGCTTTTATTTAGCCTGCCCTTTGATTTTTTACATAATGTTCCAATTCTTAATTTTTTTTCATATAGTTTAAATATAAAATGAGTGCTCGCTTGTTTAGTTGTGATCATTATGCAAGGATCATATTTCATATTCGGTTTATTCTTCAATAGCCTAAATTCGTTAATAATGTCCTATTTTATAAACGGATTGTTCATAAGGACTAAGCTGTTAATATATAACATAGGCGTTTATGGTTGTTATTTGTATGGTTCCAACTTACACAGTTTTTTCAGCCTGTAGCAGTGTTGTGTTTTATTCGTTATGTAAATAAAAGTTATGTTTTGTTTAATAACAGGGATTTTTTTTGTAGTTTCCTTTCCGTCCATTTAAACAATTGACATCGAATTGGCAACTCCCGCAAAACTGAAAGTGAAAGTATTATACGCACGCATTTATAAGCTATTTAAAAGCAGAAAAAAAAGAGGAAATGAAAAAATGCCCACTTCCACGGTGATACCGGTATTACCGGTGTTGTCACATGTCGATTAACCGGTGGGGAAATTTCCTCACCGTCACAACCCTACCCGCAGCCACAGTACGCCGGAAATCCGGCGTGGTGCCGGAACGCTATCACCCCTGCACCTACAGTAGCACCCAAGAGGAACATGCTTACCATCGCACAAAAAGTTGAACTTCAGGACATGCTAAAGGAAGGTAGAAGTTACAAGACTGCAGGGCGCCATTACGAAATAAGTAAATGAAGATCAAATGGTTTTGATCTGTGGATTCATTCTACAAATCTGGACTTATTTTCCTACAATGGTTTGAACTTTGAGAGTTTTAAACAAAAGAAAAGTGTAAAAATGTCAACGCCTGTCTGAGATAAGGCTATAAAGTCTATAGTGAGGGGTTTTACAGCCTTAAAACATCTGTTTTAATTGTAAAAAATAAAGCGGACTACTTTGCAAATTTCACCTATTGCGGGTTATTTTTAGAACGTAACTCCCGCGAATAACAAGGGACAACTATAGAAAATAGCACTAAAGGGAAACTAAAATTTAAAGTAACAAACAAAAATCCTTAATATGCCTTGGCCAAAAAAACTAATCCCCTGACTTTAAATGTCTGCAATAGACCTTTTAAAATTCCATGATATTCCAGAAATTCCTAGTTTCCCTGGGATTCCTGGCAGTTGTTACTTGCCATCATTGCATTCCACAGCTGTGTTGTGTGCATACAAATGTGTCTCACCCCACAGACTAGCACAGAGGATCTCAGCGTTGAACTTCTTTTTATATTTGCGAATCTCTGGGGCGTCACTCTGTGGTCGAATGTTGGTGGGGTTGACGTTCACCACTGAGCCCTTCCTGTGAGGCTGTCTAACGCATGGCTCACACCTGCCATTCACTGAAACACACACAGAGAGACAGACAGAGAGTTTGTAAATGTGACATGCATGTATGTCAGTGGCTGTCAGTCATGTGGACTCACGCTGGCCGTGTCCCTGCGGACTCAGAGGTGGAGAAATCTGAAGCAAACGAGGGTCAATGAAAGCTGAGAATGAGGAAGATGAAGAAGACACGCTTTTTCCTGGCTGGTTATTGAGTAGTTTCTGTAAATGCAGAACAACAGGGCAAACATCACATAGAGATCGCTAATAATTGCGTCTTTATACAATATTGCAAAATGAAAAATCACAAAAACAATTTACTACATTTTCATAGAAAACCATTTTTTTTTTTACCATCAATGAGCATCAATAACACTTACTGGCCATTTTATTAGGTATATCTATCCAACTGCTTGTTAAGGCAAATTTCTAATCAGCCAATCACGTCAGCAACAAAGTGCAATTAGGCATGTAGATAAGGTCAAGACGATCTGCTGCAGTTCAAACTGAGCATCAGAATGAGGAACAAAGGTGATTTAAGTGACTTTGAACCTGGCATGGTTGTTGGTGCCAGACGGGCTGGTCTGAATATTTCAGAAACTGCTGATCTACTGGGATTTTCACACACAACAATGTCTAGGGTTTACAGAGAATGGTTTGAAAAAGACAAAAATATCCAGTGAGCGGCAGTTCTGTGGGCACAAATGCCTTGTTGATGCCAGAGGTCAGAGGAAGAGCATCTCTCGACGCACAACAAGTCGAGCCTTGAAGAGGACAGCAGCAGACCACATGGGGTGTCACTCCTGTTAGCTAAGAACAGGAAACTGAGGCTACAATTCGCACAGGCTCACCAAAGTTGGACAATAGAAGATTGGAAATACAGTGCCTGGTCTGATGAGTCTCGATTTCTCCTGTGACATTTGGATGGTAGGGTCAGAATTTGCCATCAACAACATGAAAGCATGTATTCATCCTGTCTTCCATCAACAGTTCAGGCTAATGGTCGTGGTGTAATGGTGTGGGGTATATTTTCTTGGCACACTTTGGGCCTGTTAGTACCGATTGAGCAGGATGACGTGCCATGTCAAAAAGCGCAAATCATCTCAGACTGGTTTTTTTAACATGACAACGAGTTCACTGTACCCAAATGGCCTCCACAGTCACCAGATCTCATTCCCATAGAGCACATTTGAAATGTGGTGGAATGGGAGATTCATGGATGTCCATTTTCTTGGCGCACTTTGGGCCCATTAGAACCAACTGAGCATCGTGTCAATGCCACAGCCTACCGGAAAATTGGTGCTGACCATGTCCGTCCCTTTATGACCACATTGTACCCATCTTCTGATAGTGAATTGATAATCTCTAATAAGTACTGTAGTATCCTTTAATTTATATTACAGTAGACTGTAATGTATTGTAGTTTTTTATACCCTATAGTTGTACAAAACTACAGCAGTGGCTTTGTTATTTATATTACTATAGTTGTTAGATTACCATAGCAACTACAGTCCCTGACAAAAGTCTTGTCGCTTGAGTACAAATTGACTTGAAGTGTCGCTGAAATTTATTTCTAATGAAGTTTTTTCTTTTAACGAGAAATGGCTCATTTGAATCCCAATAGCTATTGAAATAATGTTTCAGTGAAAATATATTATTCTAATAGTCCCAGCGTGGTAAAGTCCATTGAGTCAATTTTTGCAAAGACATACATAAAGCGGACTTTATAACAAATAACCTTTGGGGTGAAGTGCTTCTTTATTCCTTCAAATAATGTAGCCTAGTTGTCTTTTTAATGATTATTAAAGGAATTATATTGCTTTGTTTCCTTGTTCATCTTTATTTACAAGTAGCAGAGTATGTACAGCTAATTTATAAGCTATTTCTGTCCATTCGCATCCTGTCCTTTTGTGCCACCTGGCGGCATAGCTAAAAAACACATTATTTTTCCTTTAGAGCGGTGGCAGTACATCCTGTAATGGTCACCTATGCCTCGTTTCCACTGACTGGTACAGTACGGTACGGTTCGGGTCGGTACAGGTCACCTTTATCAGGCTTGCGTTTCCACCACAAAGGGTACCCTTTGGTGTATGACAAAGTTTAAGTCGACTTCATGTTCGCTCAAATAAATGTCTACAGTAAAGCTGTACGGGTCGTTTACATATCATATGAGAAGCTCTTCTCACAAAACAGATGCTTTATACACAAATACTTGTTTATAAATGTTTATTACTAACTTTTCTATGAACATGATTCAATTATAACCTTCAGGATTGGCCAGCCCAGTCACCAGACATGAACATCATCGTGTGGGGTAGGATGAAAGAGGAAGCATGAAAAATGAAGAATCTTGATGAACTCTGGGATTCCTGCAAGACTGCTTTCTTTGCCATTCCTGATGACTTCAATACATTGTATGAATCCTTGCATAACCGCATAGATGCAGTTCTTCAAGCTCATGGAAGTCATACAAGATATTAAATGTGGATCTCTCAGCACCACTACTTAATTTGCTGCCATATTTTTTTATTTGTAGTAAATTTGTTGAATTTCTGTATAGGCGACAGGACTTTTGTCTTGCCAAAACTTGACTTTTCTCTCTTGATTAAATGATAAATCTTTTTTTCAGTGAAACAAATTTATTTCAGTGCATTAAACATCATTTTAGAGGGTTTTAGCTTTTCATATAAGCTATTTCTAACACAATTTGATTAATTAAAAGTCAGGTTAATAGCAGGTGTTTCTACAAAATAGATAAGCGAGCTTTTGTCAGGGACTGTATTGCATTACCACAAAAGATTCAATCAAATGCTTAACACACTCACAAAGTTTAGTTCGCTGTTTGTTCAAACTACTTATTAAAAATGTGCTGAAACAACACAATTCTGGAGTTTTTTGGGGGACAACTTAATTGTTTTATGTTCAATTCACTTAAATTTGTATTCATGTTGTCCCAGCACAAATCATTTGTGTGGAACCCAGCATTTTTTGGTTTAAAAACACTGTCGTAATAGTCAAACTCTGTAGTTACTATCATATTTTTTTCATGTGGACAGAACTTGTGCCTTTAAACAGTACACTAATCAGCTGTAACTAGTCTCCAAGCAGTGTAAAATGTATTAACTGCTCTACAAATGACTTTTCAAGAGCTAAAAACAAACTAAATATGCAGAAATTATATTAAACACTAGATATCAGTGGGCTAAAATAAAGTGATTTAAGTGCAGATGCAGGCATACGTCTCTGGAGCTCTGTGTAGGGGTCTGGTGGTAGCTCAGCTCGTGTGTGGGGCTTTTGTGCAGGAGGTCTGGCAGATGGTAGTTATCACTAGATTGTGAACCACAAGGCCTCTGATATACGTTATGTGTTGGCTTTGCTGCACTCTGCTGGAGAAACAGGAAAATCTGTTTAAGGACATGTTTTAAGCACTGACAATATCTATGAAACACTGTAAATTAAGCATAAATGAGTACATCCCAATTTAAAACCAGAAATATTTTTATCCATTTTTCAGTGAATATAGGCAATATATTTTGGTGCATTTGAACAAAACAGGATTTATTAAAATTATATTATAATATAAAATATTTATAATTATAATTTATATGTTCAGAAATATATATATATATATATATATATATATATATATATATATATATATATATATATATATATATATATATATATATATATATATATATTGCAAGATAAAAATAAATAAACTCTATTTTATACTACATTTATGGAACTAAACTGTGCAGAGCTGCCGCCCTCAAGAAACTGAGTCTGACACCCTTGCTTTAAATGGCTGATAAAATCAAGAGTATGTCAAAACAAAATGACTTATTTTTCTCAGTATATCGTACTGTCCCTAAAACAACATAGTGAAGGTGACTTTACCTGCTGCTGTTTTACATTGAGATGAGGCTGAAGAATGATTTCATTAGTCTGCCCTCTGGAAAACACAGGCCTTCCATTGCTCGATGGAGACCTGGAAAACAACCAGATCAATTTTAATGATGTCAAAGAAAACGTTTGTTCCTTCAGGCCATGAACAATGCAGCAAACTACAAACACTGGTAAGAATACAGTACGACAGAACACATTTTTACCAACAACAACAACAACAGGTTCACTTCATTCCCACATCTAATGACAACAGGGGATGATCACGTGGGCTTTAGATTTTGCATGAGGAGCATACTACTATTTTCCCTTAAGACTTCACAAATAAAATATAGACACAAATGTAAAAACAAAGCATTAGTTAAGCCAAAAATGAAAATTCTGCTATTATTTACTTGGCTGTATTTCATTCTAATCCCGAGACATTCATTTATCTTTAGAACACAATTTTTTAGATGAAATTTGAGAGCTCCCTCATCCTCCATAGTAGACAGCTAAGATAACGAGGCGTTTAAAGTCCAGAAAAAGAATTAAAAATATTGTCAAAATATTCCATGTAACTTCAATGGTTCAACTGTAATCGCATGAAGCCCCAAGAACTCTTTTGTGTGGCAAAAATTTAAATTGTTTGCCAATGTCTCCTGTATCAGACTAGGATGTTTGATTACTATGGGGAGTATGATGCTTAAGTGTTGCATTGCTGAATCTAAAGGCAATACATTGTTCGATCCATAGTAAACATGCACTTGTCTTGACACATGAGAGAAGATACGTTTGTCAAAAAAAGCTGTAGATATGATTTTTTTACCTACAAGTGTTAGGCTGCATTTATACTGCAGATCTTGATAGTATATTCCGATTTTGTGACTGTATCCGATTTTTTTGCTGACTTGCTTTCATCGTCTTTTAAAAGTGACTTCTATTCGATCGTCTGCATTTACACAGCACACGGCAAAGGCACAATGACCACGAAAAAAAAAAAAGAGCGGGCGCTGACTAACAGCTGATAATTAAAGAGCGCTCTTTTCTCTATTCCTGTATGTAATCTATTCGCAGCTTTTGACAAGCTGTTTCACTATAGTTTATGACAGAAAGGTTCTCATTTGTCCATCTTCTTTGATATATAAGCTTTTTTAAACCTTTAGGCATCTTAATGTAATGTCCATGGCGTGATTTATGCACGTGATGTATGTACTAGTATTATATTAGTTTATATTGGTTTCGTGGCAGACATTGCACTCTCTTGCTGTCGTTAAAATGCTTAAATACGTGTGCTATATGATAATATAAAAGCTGTTTAAGTCCTCGTGTATGAGATTTAAGGTTTGGGACTCTGGTGAAGTCTGTTCTGAAAGGACAGTGTCAGACTTGACGTCATTCGTTATGGTTTTTAATGACGCGCGACTCGCATTGACAGGTGAAAATCCGATCTATCTGCTTACACTGCAGACACAAGGGCACAGATCCGATTCATATAGGATAAATTTCCACATATGAACATGGCCTGAATCTGATTTGAGTAAATCAAAATCCATGTAATTTGTTTCTGCTTACATGTACATGGGCCATATCGGATCTGTGCCACATGGAGAGAAAAAAAATCGGAATTGAGTCACTTGAACAGTGCAGTGTAAATGCAGCCTTAGAGAGCTCTTTGAATTTCATCTAAAATAAAACTTGCGTTCCAAAGAAAAACTAAGATTACTGAAAAAGACTTGAGCGTGAGTAATTAATAACAAAATGTTCACTTTTAGGTGACCTACCTATTTAATTTTTGTAAGGGTATTTTTAGTCCAAGGATCACAAACCCTGTTCCTGGCGAGCTGCCTTCCTGCAAATTTCAGTTGCAACCCTGACCAAACACACCTGTCTGCAATTATCAAGTGCCTCTTCAGGTCAGGTGTGTTTGATCAGGGTTGGAGCTGAATTCTGCATGAAGATAGCCCTCCAGGAACAGTGCTGGTGATCTCTGTTTAAGTCATTACAGTTTGAGCATAAATATAATATAATATAATATAATATAATATTATATAATATAATATAATAAAATATAATATAATATAATATAATATAATATAATATAATATAATATAATATAATATAATATAATATAATATATATATTAGCCTTAAATTATGTTTATCTGTCTTATGGTATCTGTTTTATGATTGTTTAAACGCATCACGCACCTCTACTGTGAAGCAAAGCTGTCCAAAAATGTTAAAAAAACTAGTCATCGTCCAAACAAAAAGTGGCTAGCATACATTAATGTGGTTTGACATCGGAAGAACATTAGCAGAATGGCAGAAAAAGTCAACATGTGACTGCCACAGGCACTTCACCCCTGCATTGTGAGGTTTTTGCAGTTTTGATTCAGGGATATGAGAAGCCCGACATGGTCATAGCTTCTGACATAACGATCTGTCCATCCAGCACCAACCATATGTCTTCTTTCACAACACATTGGAATTATATTTGATACCAGAGTTTTAAATCCTTGTAGTTATGGTTTAAAAGGACAGTTCACGTAAAATGACACTATGCCATTTAAAAAAAAAAATCTTAAGACGAGTAAACATTAGTTTAGATTACCTCATCTTCTCATCATCTTCATCACTGGATGAAGAATATTCTGCAAGCTTCATCAATGGGCTGAACTGAGACTTTGTTCCCAAACCCTTAAAGACAAAACAGAGTGATATTAATAGACTTTGATACTCAAGTTTTTTTAACAATTCTGTCTGGTTCTTGAATCTGATAGCCCTGCAATATTCCGCAATATCAGCAGTATCAGAACTCATACTGCCTCTCTTCACACTCCACCAACATAGAGTGACAGCAGATCAATTACTAGACACAATAGATCAATTAGTACAGATTGACAAATATTGCAGCTGTTGGACAACAAAATGTATTTTGACGCTGTTTGGGTGAGAATACAGTTGTTTAGATTGCAACTATTCAGTTTAATTTTAAGAATAGTGCCAATTTAAAATATTCATATTTCAGAGATTCAGCACATAGGCAGCCAGACTGTCATATTGAGCAGAGAATAGATGGTTGACGTCAGCCACAAGGTGGCGACAGACACTGCATAATAAATCTTTAGGGGAGAAAAACAGCATTTTCTCAGTGTACGTTTCAAACTACAGCTAAATAAATCATTACAGAAAAGGTAAGACTCTAAGTCGATCTCTCTCTTTTGTATGTTGTAGTTCTGTATTTATACCATAGTAATCTGGAAGTGTTTGCTTTGGCTTTTGGGGGGTTATTTATTGTGAAATCCAAATTGCAACAGATAAATACTGGAAAATCTCTGTAGTCTGATGACATTTCATGCTGTTCAGCCATATAATCTTGTTAATCTTTGTTAATGTGAGCAGAATCACCTGTTTCGTCATCACTTTAGATATAACACTAGAGAATCATTCATATACCAGCTCTAAAGTGACGTTTGTGAAGTAGCAATAGTTTCTGCTGTTCTGACGTCAGCTGCAGATGTGAATAAATGGTGGAAAAAGGAATTCCTCATACAAAATGATTTTCTGTTTTATATACTACACCAGGGGTGTCCAAACTTTTTGGGCCGAGGGCCAGATGCAAAAAAACAAACGTTGTCGCGGGCCAAATTTTACATACATTACACAGACACGCATATATATATATATATATATATATATATATATATATATATATATATATATATATATAGTTGAAGTCAGAATTGTTAGCCCCCCTAAATTATTAGCCCCCGTTTATTTTTTCCCCAATTTCTGTTTAACGGAGAGAAGATTTTTTCCACACATTTCTAAACATATTAGTTTTAGTAACTCATTTCTAATAACTGATTTATTTTATCTTTGCCATGATGACAGTAAATAATATTTGACTAGATATTTTTAAGACACTTCTATACAGCTTAAAGTGACATTTAAAGGCTTAACTAGGTTAATCAAGTTAATTAGTCAAGTTAAGGTAATTAGGCAAGTTATTTTATAACAATGGTTTGTTCTGAAGACTTAAGGGGCTAATAATTTTGACCTTAAAATGGTTCATAAAAAAATTTAAACCGCTTTTTATTCTAGCCGAAATAAAACAAAAGTCTTTCTCCAAAAGAAAACATATTATCATACATACTGTAAAAATGCTCTGTTAAACATAATTTGGGAAATATTTGAAAAATAATAAATAAATCAAAGAGGGGCTAATAATTCAGACTTCAACTGTGTATAGATAGACAGACAGACAGACAGACAGACAGAGAGATAGATAGATAGATAGATAGATAGATAGATAGATAGATAGATAGATAGATAGATAGATAGATAGATAGATAGATCATAACAAGAACTGCTGCTTAATTGAATGCATGTAATAGCGACACCCGGTGGTTATTTATTGAATTACGTTCATTTTTGTATAGCGGGCCAGATTCTATTGATATTTATAAAAAGCCTCGCGGGCCGCCACAAAACTGATTGCGGGCCGCAGATGGCCCGCGGGCCGTAGTTTGGACACGCCTGTACTACACGATTATGCTGCCGAACTGTTGTATAAACGCAATATCACACTTGTAGCAGTGCGATATGGCTGTATATTGTCACTATTGTCAATATAGCTGTTTATTTATTCCCACCAGTGCCGATAAATCTCCATATTGCACTGCTACGATCTATTTACTTTTTTATTTTCACTTATAAACACTTATATATAAAATGAGTTATATTACATTTTTGTTTTGGAGTGAATCTAAAATATGCAAAATATATAACACGTACATATACAGTTGAAGTCAGAAATATTAGCCCCCCTGAATTATTAGCGCCCCAGTTTATTTTTTCCCCCAATTTCTGTTTAAAGGACGGAAGATTGTTTCAGCACATTTCTAAGCATAATAGTTTTAATAACTCATTTCTAGTAACTGATTTATTTTATCTTTGCCATGATGACAGTAAATAATATTTTACTTGATATTTTTCAAGACACTTCTATACAGTTTAAAGTGACATTTAAAGGCTTTACTAGGTTAATAAAGTCAACAAGGCAGGTTAGGGTAATTAGGCAAGTTATTGTATTTTAATGGTTTGTTCTGTAGACTATCGAAAAAAATAGCTTAAAGGGGCTAATAATTTTGTCCAGAAAATGGTTTTTAAAAAATTTAAAGCTGCTTTTATTCTTGCCGAAATAAAACAAACAAGACTTTCTCCAGAAGAAAAAAATATTATCAGACATACTGTGAAAATTTCCTTGCTCTGTTAAACATTATTTAGGAAATATTTAAAAAAACAAAAAAAAAACAAAAGGGGGCTAATAATTCTGACTTCAACTGTATTTTGATGCATTTGTCAGTAAATAATGCAAGATAAAGAGAGACATCTGACATTGCTATGAAAGTTATTATGAGTAATCCATTTTATTGTGATAATCTCTATGATTCACACTATAAATTCAGAAAATGATCAGAAATTCATTATACATTTGCCTATACAATGTAATGTATAAAATAGGGTCAGCAGTCTACTTAAACTAACTGCAAAATCATCTGATATACATGTGATGCAGATTCACACCTGGTTGTGTGGTGATGCTCCTGGACTTTGAGAGTTTCTGTTTGGATGAGCTGGATTATCCAGAACACAGTACCCTGCAAGAACAAAAACATCTACATGACAGCATTCACTGACATATACTTAAAAGCCATTGTTTCCACTTTAAGACAAATGTCAAATTCCCTGACTTTTCCATGACCTTACTAACTAAAAAAATGAATTTCCATGATCTATCCACCTTATTTCTCACATGTGGCCAATGTAACTTAAATGTGTCAAGACTTATGATCCCCTTCACTCCCATTCATTCTTCTTTTCATATTGCTTTAATACAGTGGTTCGCAAATTGTGTGGGCTTACTTCTAGTGGTGCACGGAGGAATCACCGAGTAATGAACGAAAAAATTAATACAATTTTAACCATTTGATGCGTATGATAACACAGATGTGATCAGCATTGGCTGTTCTATTAAGCCTACGATCAAAGCGCTGAAGAATGTTTACTTCAGTGCATCGCGTCATCAGCTGCTAAAAATCATTCCAATTGGCGCAGCACGAGAGAAAGAGGTGCGTGGTGCTTGCTGAGCAAATACACGCTAGAGCAGTGGCCCCCAATCCTCGGAATGCAGAAGCCTATAGATCAATTAGTACCGGGCTGCACAAAAATCATTAATTATTTCTGTTTTATTTAATACCTTAGTTAGAATTATCATTTATTTTGAAAAATGACCATAATCTCGTTACATCTAGGTCACTTGATCACCAAAAGTTTACCTACAGGCTAGCAAAATGAGTAAGAACTGCAGCACGACGCGCTTGCGTATTCCAGGTGTGCCCTGTTAAAACATCTAAACTTTTCAGAATGTCGCACCGCGAGTCAAGTGACAAGAACCGACTGATCAGCTTCATGCTTTATATGGAATATAATTTCGTTAGACTAATTATCTCAGACAAACACAGAACACCCAAACCCTGCATAGCTTTTAAATTTTCTCCATAAATAAAACTTGTGCAGCAATGTTTTGTCAGCTTGACATCCTACCAATCTACATACCAGTTAATGTTTAGATTTCAAAAAGTTTTACAAATATGTCATATGTATATGCAACATTTATTTAAATATTGATCAAAAATTCTATAAATATGAATATGACTCTCGTTTTCGAACTGTGCAATGCTGTAGCTGCTTAAATTGGCCAACTACACTACCTCATATAAATACTAGTCATTATGGTGGTCCTTGGAGAGACTATTTTTTTCTGAGGTGGTACTTGGTCAAAAAAGTTTAGGAACCACTGCTTTAATACAGTCATTCATTTTCTTGTCGGCTTAGTCCTTTTATTAATCCGGGGTCGCCACAGCAGAATGAACCACCAACTTATCCAGCAAGTTTTTTTACGCACCTGATGCCCTTCCAGCCGCAACCCATCTCTGGGAAACATCAACACGCACATTCACACACACACTCATACACTACGGACAATATAGCCTACCCAATACAACTATACCACATGTCTTTGGACTGTGGGGGAAACCGGAGCACCCGGAGGAAACCCACGCGAAGGCAGGGAGAACATGCAAACTCCACACAAAAACACCAACTGAGCCGAGGTTTGAACCAGCGACCAAGAGGCAAAATGTGTGAAGATGGCAATAAAAGTATTTAAAATTCACATTTTGATTAATGGAAAGTAAAATTTAAAACAGCAAACAAAAACGCTCAACTTTAAATTTTCAATGTCTAGAATAGGTCTTTTAAACTTCCATGATATTAAAGAAACTCCTGGAAACCCTAAAAAAACAGACATTATTCCGTCAGATTATAATTAAAGTAAGAAAAAAAACACACCTGACTGTGAGCTGCTTGTCGAGCTGTTGGAGAAAGACATTTTGACAGCGTTGTCCATAGCCGACTGACGATCTCCACTGAATACATAATGCAAAGTCAAGAAACAAAAACAATCACAGTTTCTCATCTGAGGATAATGAGAGGCTTGAGAAGATTACATTTAAGCCCAAGTGAAGCAGATCTGAAAATCTTCTATGTATCCTGCAGGGATTTCAAACAAACACATAGTCAGTGACTTACCTGGATCCGTATCTGTGATGGCCCATGACATCTTTGAATTTTGATGTGGTTCGTTCTGGAATCTTGAAAAAAAATCAATAAATAAAACTAAATAAAGAGAATATAATTCTTTTGTAATTATATATACAGCTATCAAATAGCTTTTACACCTAATTAAACAATTTTAACTTGCAATGTCTTCCACTTTTCCAGCTGTGGTAATTCAATTCAATTCAAGCAATTGTATAGCGTTTTCACAATAATTATTGTTCCAAAGCAGCTTTACAAAAGGTGCATGTTATTACATTACGGTCAAAATAGGGTAGATCTACATTTCCTGAAAAAAGTCTTATTGCCTATCCAAGTTTTAGGAGCAAAAAATAATAACTTGACTTCTAGTTGATCATTCGGTATCAGAAGTGGCTTTAATGAAAGCAAAAGGCCTCTAGATTACACTTATTTTACCAAAATAAAATATGATCATGACTTAATTTTGAACTATTTAATTAGGGCAGTAAGGTCTGACTTTGCTTAGACAAAAGTCTTGTCACTAAACAGAAATGATGTACAGTATAGAATATAAAGTCATGGTGCAGTGGAAAACTAATTAATAATTTGTATGACTCCCATGAGCTTGGAGAACTGCATCCATACATCTCTGCAATGACTCAGATAACTTATTAATAAAGTCATCTGAGATGGCAAAGAAAGCGTTCTTTCAGGACTCCCAAAGTTCATCAAGATCCTTTGGATTCATCTTTATGCCTCTTCCATCATCTTACTCCAGACATGCTCAATAATGTTCATGTCTGGTGACTGGGCTGCCCAATCATGATGCACCTTCTTTCCTTTCAGGAACTTTGATGTGGAGGCTGAAGTATAAGGAGCACGATCCTGCTGAAGAATTTGCCCTCTCCTGTTGTTTGTAATGTAACGGGCAGCACAAATGTCTTGATACCTCAGGCTGTTGCTGTTGCCATCCACTCTGCAGATCTCTCACATACCCCCATATGAATGTAACCCCAAATCATGATTTTTCCTTCACCAAACTTGACTGATTTCTGTGAGAATCTTGGGTTCATGTGGGTTCCAATAGTTCTTCTGCAGTATTTGTGATGATTGGGATGCAGTTCGACAAATGATTCATCTGAAAAATCTACCTTCTGCCACTTTCCCAAATGATGAACTAGAAGTTAAGTTATTATTTGTTGCTCTTATGACTGGGAATGATGACAAGACTTTTGTCAGGTAGTGTATACATAGTGTATATATTTACACAATACATATAGTTTCAAATTTCAAAAGGACATATCCATGTGTGAGTAATTATTCAACTACTGGCACTTTTATGTCCTTTGATCATATATCAAAAAAAAAAAAAAAAAAAAAAAAAATATATATATATATATATATATATATATATATATATATATATATATATATATATATATATATATATATATATATATATATATATATAAATTTCTTTTTCTTTGTCAAACTAACAATAAAACCAACTACGTATCTATTATATTTTTTTCATATTATTTAACCTCCTTTTAGGTGTCAAAATCACTGTTTTCACCTAGTCGCACACCCAGAGTTTTTAACTTTAACAATGAAAATGCCATTTTAAAATATTATTTATCTGGTATCTATTAATGTATCTTAATGAAGCACTAGTGAAATATTTTAAATATTTTATAGTTATTAATGTGAGACTATTATCAATATTTTTTTCTATACAAAATATAGCTGTCGCACAGTATCAGTGTCATTTCCAACACAACACTGTAAAGTCGCTTTAAAAAGTTTGTGTGAAAGATTATTTAGGTGGTTTCTCTGAACATGAATAGTGCCATCTGAGAACATGTTCAAGATGCAGGGAATTTATATTTGTAACGACAACACTTGAAGAAAAATCAAGGTAAATATTGCTCGTAAATACATTTATTCTACGTCATTTCCAAACATGCTGTACCTTTAAAGACGTTTTTAAAAACCAAACAAAATGCAGGTAAATAAGAGTGTTTTGTACACATGAAAGGCTAGCATCAATTCAAAGCTAATCGGTGAAGCTATTTGTCATTTTTTCACAATAAACTGTTGAAATGTCATTTCCATCACCACACACATTTTTTTTTATATTTAAAAAGTTCTCATCACACATTAAAAGTGTATTCACATGTATAAGTTCATGCCCTATTTAAAATACAAATTCAGTTTATTAATTTTCTAATAAGCTCTTAACCACATTAATCTTACATTTTAGAGTGAGCAGGTGTACAATTCAGCATACAACTAATTTATTTAACTAACAAATGTATAATTAGAATATATTGTGAAAGATTGGTTAAACTAGATACAAAAATGATCTTAAACAATGTTTGACTGCCATCATTTATTTCATTTTGAAATAAGCTGTATATTGAGATGTGGTGGAATTGACATTTGTTCAGTTCACGATGGAAAAAATGTCTCTCTTCTTATCTAAGTTTGTCCTCTTACAGATCTTAAAACTAGACAAATTGTTTAAACTTATGAGGCTGTTACGTTAATTTTAAACAAGTTTTTTTACTCAACTCCACATGGCTAAAGTGCTCGTATATAACATATTTTTAATAAAGTACATTTTTTTGTATTGCTTAATTTAGTGCCGTCATTATCTCACTATTTTTTAACATCCTGCTGTGAATGCGTGCTTCACATTAAAGAAAGACACCTCCCTTTAAAAGAGGAAGTGGTTTTAACCACAGTTTTAGCAGTTGCCACCTGGGTTTCGATGCAGAAAACATTTTAGGTCAGGGTTTTACTTCTGCCAACTGTGAATTGCTCAAACTCTGAATACTCTTAATAATCATTACTTTAATAGAACAATATGATATAGTCTGTGCTGTTGCAAAATGCTGTGTTCTATAATAATTTTCCAAACTTGTTCCTGGAGGGCCGGTGTCCTGCAGATTTTAGCTCCAACCCTAATCAAACACACCTGAACAAGCTAATCAAGGTCTTACTAGGTATACTCGAAACATTCAGGCAGGTGTGTTGAGGCAAGTTGGAGCTAAACCCTGCAGGGACACCGGCCCTCCAGGACCGAGATTGGTGATCCCTGTTGTGGAGAAATAAAACAACAGATTAACCATTGTCTGTTAAATCTGAAACAGACTGTGCTTTGTGGTCAATTGGAGACTATGATGACAAAAAAAATGCTGTGTTGAGGAATTTGGTGACGAACCTTTGGTGGTTGATCATCAGGGGTGAAGAAGACATCATCCAGTGTTGGAGAGAGTGGAGCATTAACATCTGACATCGAGCTGCTGTGATGAATCTCTTGACTGGAACACACGTTCATGTTCTGAAATACACAAACATTACAGAATCTTTAGTCTTTATACAGACCACATAGCTTTCAGTATGCAATATTACGCTTTTACTAGTGCTGGGAAGAAAATGAATCGTTATCTAATTGAATTTATTAATTAATATCTAATTGAACCCTACTGTGTAGGGTTGGAAATCGAATATCAATTCAGATTCTGCAATCGAATATTTACAGTAAATCCGGAAAGTATTCATAGCGCTTCACTTTTTCCATATTATTTTAAAGTCACAGCCTTATTCCAAATGTATAAATTCCTTTTTTTACTTAAAATTCTACACACAATAGCCCATAATCACAATGTGTAAAAAGATTTTTTGAAATTGTTCCAAATTTATTAAAAATAAAAAGCCTGAAAAATCACAGGTACATCAGTATTCACAGCCTTTGCTCCATACTTTGTTGATGCACCTTTGGATTTACAGCCTCAATTCTTTTTGAATGTGATGCCACAAGCTTGGCACACCTGTGTTTGGGAATTTTTGCCCATTCCTCTTTGCGGTACCTCTCAAGTCCTATCAGGTTGGATGGGAAGCGATGGTGTAGAGCCGCTTTCAGATCTCTCCAGAGATGTTCAAGAGGATTTAGGTCTGGGCTCTCGCTGGGCCACTTAAGAACATTGCGAAGCCACTCCATTGATTCTTTGGCAGTGTGGTTTGGGTCATTGTCCTGCTGGAAGATGAACCGTCGTCCAGTCTGAGGTCAAGAGCACTCTGAAGCAGGTTTTTATTCAGGATGTCTCTGTACATTGCTGCATTCATCTTTCCCTCTATCATGACTAGTCTTCCAGTTCCTGCTGCTGAAAAAAAATCCCCACAGCATGATGCTGCCACCACCATGCTTCACTTTAGAGATAGCCTGGTGATGAGCAGTGCTCGGTTTTCTCCAAACGTAACGCCTGGCATTCACTCCAAAGAGTTCAATTTTAGTCTTAGCAGAACAGAGAATTTAGTTTCTTATGGTCTGAGAGCCCTTCAGGTGGCAAATTCCAGGCAGCAAGTGGCTTCAGTCTGGCCACTCTACCATACAGGCCTGATTGGTGGTTTTCTGCACAGATGGTTGTCCTTCTGTAAGGTTCTTCTCTCTCTACAGAACAACGCTGGAGCTCAGACAGAGTGACCATCATGTTATGGATCACCTTCCTGACTAAGGCCCTTCTTCCCCGATCACTCAGCTTAGAAGGCCGGCCAGCTCAAGGAAAATCCTTCCACTTACGGATGATGGAGGCCACTGTTCTTTTTGGAACTTTCAGAGCAGCAGAAATTTTTCTGTAACCTTCCCCAGCTTTGTGCCTCAAGACAATCCTGTCTCGGAGGTCTACAGACAATTCCTTTGTCTTCATGCTTGGTTTGAGCTTTGACATGCACTGTCAACCCTGGGGCCTTATATAGACAGGTGTATGCCTTTTCAAATCATGCCCAATCAACTGAATTTACCACAGGTGAACTTTAATTAAGCTGCTGAAACATCTCAAGAATGATCAGTGGAAACAGAATGTACCTGAGCTCAATTTAGAGCTTCACGGCGAAGGCTGTGAATATTTATGTACATGTGATTTTTCAGTTATTTTTTTTTTATTTATAATAAATTTGCAAAAATTTCAAAATATCTTTTTTCACATTGTCATTATGGGGTATTGTGTGTAGAATCTTCAGGAAATAAATAAATGTAATCCATTTTGGAATAAGGCTGAAACATAAAAAACATGGAAAAAGTGCAGCGCTATGAATACTTCTTATACTACTTACGGTTGCACTGTATTCTATGTCAAAACGAACTCTTATTTTGGATGTGATTAATCTGGTTTTCACACTTAAATTATTTGAATATTTGATATGCTAATGTACATAGCATTCTGTTTCTAGATTATGTTTTAATTTCAAATAAGTACTTAATCTTAATATGTTCACTTAGTTAATGTTAGTCAACATTGCATATTAACTTTTAATTTCTGTTGATCTTGGTACACAATGTAACTACAGAAGAGTCAAGCTTTAAATAGGAAAATTATTTAAACTCAGTTTTTTTTTTACCGGCTGTTTCACAGCTCTCTGGAGCGCTGGAGTGCAGGGACTGGAGTTGCTTCCTGATCCCAGACGGGACTGAACATGAGGAATCCTGACAGCTAGATTATTCAGATTCACAAGATGGGTTTCCAGGGACTCCAGTTTACCTGCCAGCTAAATGTCAAAGTTACACAATAGTGATTATGAGAACACCATACAGCCAAAAATCATACGTACAGGGTTCCCACTTTAAGCCAAATGTCAAATTTTTCTAATATTTACAGACTAAATACCTGAATTTTCATGACCGACAATTTTAAGATCGTACAATCGCTGCATTTAATACAGGAAATCAAATCATTCAAAAATGAGGAACATTTTTTTTTATTGCTGCAGATTTCAGCCAGCTAGAGCAATGTTTAAATTCCTAATGTGCCAAATGCATTGTTTTATATTAAATAACATCATATTCATGCATAGAAGTGCTCAACTGGTGTGCAATACCTCAAGGTATCAGTGCTGCACTTCTCCTTTGGTGTTTGACCTGCTTTAGATGCATCATGTGACATTATCGCAAAAGTGCATTCAGCCAAAGTCTATTTGAACAAGGTTATGTTTGCTGCTTCAATCGCTAAAATTCTAAATGTTAACATGATTTTTCTATTGCTAATGTTGAAGAGATTTTAACAGTGGTTTATTTAAGGATTTATATGGTTAAGAGGTATACACTGTTCCTCAAAGTTTTCACTTTACATAAAAAATATAGAAACCATTGACACTTGAGGTCAAAAAAAGAAATGAAGAACTAAGATCTGCAAATTTGTGTATGTAAACCTGTAAACCACAAATATTGCCACAAATTTTGAGAAAAAAAGCAGGCCATTTTAGGCTGCAATAATCAGAAATTGTTAACAAAATGGGAAGGACTAAAATGGCAGTGAAAAATAGCCCCCTATGCAAAAAAAAGGCTTTTCTTACTTAGAGGTTTTGTTGTGCCTCTAGTCCAAGTATCGAAGAAAAAAAAAAATAAATTTATCAAGAAGCATATTTTAGACAAGCAAGTCTTGTTTCTAAATAATGTCAAAAGTGAATGTGAAGGTAAAGTAAAAACAAGATAATTTTGCTTGTTTAAAAAAAAATCTCACTTAATTTTGACATATTTCTGAAAAAAACACAATATGTTTTGCTTGTCTAGTAATTGCTTCTTGATTTAATTAGATATTTGGACTAAACAAAAGCAAAACACGGGAAAGAATATGATTTAAAAAAAGGCATTTTAATAAATGAGACACATCATTTTCAGTGATGACCAGAGTGTTTTGATAATCAATGACTTGGGACAAAATATTTGAAATTCTCTGGTTTTCAAGGTCAGAAAAAGACCTTTTAAAATTCCATGAAATTCCATGACTCCTGGTATTCCTGACATACACTACCTGACCAAAGTCTTGTCGACGATCCCAGTTGTAAGAGCAACAAACAATAACTTGACTTCTAGTTGATCATTTGGAAAAGTGGCAGAAGGTAGATTTTTCAGAAGAATCATCTTTCGAACTGCATCTTAATCATCACAATTACTGCAGAAGACCAACTGGAAACAAGTTACACGTAGTATGAGGAAGTGTGAGAGATCTGCAGACCTTTCTGTTCTAATTAAATAATGAAAAAAATAAATAAAAATCAAGGCATGATCATATTTTATTTTGGTAAAATAAGCACAATCTAGAGGCCTTTTCCTTATATATAATCCACCTCTGATACCAAATAATCAATTAGAAGTCAAGCTAGTATTTGTTGCTCCTAAAACTTGGATAGGCGACAAGAATTTTGTCAGGTAGTGTATAAACTGTGGAGAGCAGTGGACAGTGTGTTTTTACCCCGTCATGTGGTGTAGCTCTGCTGCTCTTCTGCTGGTGTGTGTGGTCATGCAGGAGGAACAGCAGCTGTGACTGATCTCGGGGAAGTGTGCGCTGAGCTTTTCTGCCCTGAGCCTGATGGTGTGGCCGAAAAAACAGCCATTTCACACGCAAGCATAATACAATGTGTTTAGCATGTCACTAGCTGAAACAAACCTTAACAAGGTTATCAACACCGTGAAAACAAGTGAAGCTTATTTTATGATGAAATAAATCCTACACACACTGAATAAAAAATATACACACAAAAAAGACTCTAGCTGCCTGTTCAAACTACTTAAGATGAGTTGTAGCACAATTTCTAAGTTTTTTTGGATCAACTTAATTGTTTTATGTTCAATCCACTTGCAAAAAAATGATTAGGTTAAGTTGATCAATTTGTATGTAGGACATCATGAAGGTATTGGGTAGAACTTTTGTAGAACTCAATTTTCTTTACAGTGTAAAATGTTTATTTGAGCTTCTTGTTTGAAAAATTTAAGTTTGGTGCACACTAATCAAAAAAAAAAAAGAAAAGAAAAGAAAAGAAAAAAGAAAGAAAAGTGGGTCACACTTTATTTAGAGGGTCCGTTTGTTGAATTAAGTTACATTGTATCTACATACTAATTAATTCTCATTAAATTATAAGTAGACTATTAGGTTGGGGTTAGGGTTAGAGGAAGTACCTGCACTGGTTCAGTTAAATGTCTGTTGAAGGAGCAGTATCAACAGATAATAAGCAAACAGTTTACTAATACTCAAATGGACCATCAAAATAAAGTGTTACCAAAAAGTGTCATTAATCAACTATTAACCAGGGCTAAGAAACTGAAACTTGAAACTGAAAGTCAGATATGATCAGTGTTTTACTACCCTTTTTCAGAATCTGGCCAAAAAATATCAACCACACATTATCAGTCAGTGAAACACGTCGTTAACTTGTTTAGTATTAAAAACATTTTGTACCTGCTCATCGAAAAGATTTGAAGATGCAGATTCAACATCAGTCCTGTGATGTTCACTGTCTTTAGGCTGAAATACAATGACAATAAAACACAAATTAGCTACACTGAGGGTTACAGTTAACATTTAAAAATAAAAACTACTTGATATTAAAGAAAAAAAAGGGTTTTGATCACATCATTTTCCATTGACTTTCAATATTTTTGATTATTATAGACAAAAAGATACTTAAAAGAGATACGCTGCATGACTGCATGCTGCATTTAAATATCATAATATTGGCCAATAGTTCCCCTTGTCCGATGCAAGTTTTAGCAGAACATGATCAGGACATGAACGAAATGAAGGTATAAAATAAACAAATTATACTGGTATTTATTATAAACTATATTTATCATGAACACTACCAAGTCTAAACACATTTTTAAAGAGAAACGGGTATGTGGGAAATGCCCTGACGCCTATGAATGAACCGGACATGTCTAGCCTATAAATAAACCCCAACCACAAACGTTGAATGTAGAATGTAGAGAGAGATATTTGCCAAACATTAGCTTGTACATATATTAATATTCATTAATAAAGCCAGTTACTTTGACAATACATATTTTGATCTACAGCACATAGAGTTAAGATAGAAGTAAAATAATTTTAAAAATGTCTTTCTGTGTCGTCCATATTATTATAGTTGCTAAACAAACAGACTGTATGCAGTTTATTTTTGAATGGAGAATCAGTTGGCTTATTGGATAAAATCCCCATGTTTACGTAAATATTTAACGAATAAATTACATGGGAATTCAAAAGAAATCCATTTAGTAATCTAAATTAGTTTAATCACTTTAGTAATCTAAATAAGTTTTTGGATGTAGCTGTAGTTTGATTTCCACCCGTTTAAAAATGCCATTATAACAAAATACAAGTATTTTTTGTTAATTTTTTGCTAAACACTGTTACTTCCCACCCCTATATACAATACAATTTTTTTAATGTGATGATAAACAAAGAAGTATAAAATAAACAAATTACACTGGCGTTTATTATAAACAATAAAATAAAAAACAAACTCAAACCTGTTTTTTATGATTTCTTTTGCTTTTCTCAGTAAGGTCAGTCTCTTCTTGCCATAACATCTCCTGAAGCTCAGGCCACTGGACTCCAGTCTCATGTAACAGCCTTTCCTGATGCTTTACGAACAGAAACACAAAATTTTGATTGAATTATTCTCTAATCAGTTGCCTATTATGTTGTGAATATACCCCTTTAATGCATACTGCAGTCCTTTTTTGTCTGGCTTTCTGCGCTGTGGCACATGGTCTAACAGGGTTGAGCTTATTCTCTTAATGAGTTATGGGTGTGTTTTAAAAATAAACCAATCAGAGTCTCTTCTCCCATTCCCTTAAAGATTTAGTTGCGTCGTGCCATGGCGCATTTGCTATTTACACAGCAGACTTTATAAGTGGAAAAACTGAACGCTTCACTAATGGGTAAACAGTTAAACAGACCATCTGCAGCGCGAGAATGAAAGAATGAGCCTCCTCCAATCGGCCTTTACTTTCTCTTTCTCTCTTTAGTGGATAAGGAAAAGGTGCTGTGCACTCCACTGAAGACATTCATTAGCCTACATAATTAATTTCATTTGGTGAGCGCAAAGATTTGTTACAAGACTATTTCTAAATTCCAGCAAATGAATACAGGAACAACAGTAACAAAGTTATATCTAAACACACGTTCTATGCCCCATATGGTCCAAAACCTGACAGGTGGACAATTGTAAGCCTGTTTTTAATAAAACAAATCTAAATATGCATATAATAAATAATAATAATAATAACAACAACATTATACAAAAGCAAGTTGTCGTGAATAAACTAAAAAAAGCCCCCCGAGATGAAGGAGTGGAGGAAGTGGTTTTCATATTCATGTAGAAAGTAATACTTTTTAAAATATTTGATTTCTTTAATTCTTTTTCATTTGTAAAGATATTTGCGTGTTTTAGGCAATGTGCAAGCGAGTCTTACAACTAACCCACTCTGTGCTTTAGACCTGCTTTCTGCTGGTTTGTTGCACAGTCTATTTAATTTCCTCAAAACAGCAACGTGCCAACAATGCGCCTTAGCACACCTCTTTTCTAGACCAGAACACACATGAGTCCCCAAAGTGGCATTTGATTGTGTAGTGTACACATTTAGATTTAGATAGAGATGCAGAACTTCTAGTGAAACATGCCACCACACTAACTAGACACAAATAAGGGTATTTTCAAAGCCAAAGCAAGCTAAAAACCCAAACTAGAGTAACACTTTAGTTTAAATGACAGTTCGCACCATTTACACTGACTTATTACCTGCTTATTATTACAATATTAATTGTTTATGAGCATTATATATTAAAGTATGATCTTATTTTACATCCAAATACACAGTAAAAATGCTGGGTTCCACACAATCGATTCCACAAAGGAATTGAGTTAACTTATAAGTTTTTACAAATTTAAGTGGATTTAACAAAGCAATTCATTTGTCACACACACAAAAAAATATTTTTTTTTGTTTCCACTGAAAAAAGTGTTGCATGCAGAACTGTTGCAAACTATTTATTTGTGTTGAATTTAAACAAACAAATTAAGTTTAATAATGTTCAACTTAATTTGTTTGTTTAAATTCAACACAAATAAATTGTTTACAACCACTTAACGTAAAAAAAAAAATTGTAAATCCAAGGAATTATCTTTGAATATTTTTTTCAGTGTATTTTAAATTTAAAATAGTGTGAACAAATTGAGTTACCTCATTAGTTTGTACAAATTTAAGTGGATTGAACATAAAACAATTTCTTGAGTCTTTTGTGTGGCAAATTTTATGTTTAATCCACTTAAATTTGTAAAAACGAATAAGTTAACTCAATTTGTTCAAACTATTTATTTTAAAGAAGCTGAAACAAACAAATTTCTTGAGTCTTTTGTGCAGCAAATAAATTGTTTTGTTTCAGCTTGTTTAAAATAAGTAGTCTGAACAAACAGCAAACGCCATTCTTTTGAGTTTACCTAAAAACAACCACTACTATTAATGAGCAGCTAGTTAGTATCTTGAGCTAATAATCTTAGCTAATGGTTTGTTAATTGTACATTAAAATAAAGTGTGACCCTAGCAAAGTCTCATGCACTCCTCGATAATATTATTATTAAAAGAGAATATCTATTCATACATCTTCGAAGCGTCGTCGCTCCTCCTGCTGTTGTTGGATTCTCTTCTGTCTGTCAGCCAGCAGTTGTTTCTTGTAGTTGTCTTGATTGTGTACTTGCTGGATTAGTTGCGTTTGGGAGTTCGTCTCCTGCTGCAGTCGCAGGAACTCTCGTCTAAGCATGGACTCTCCGGGAAGGTTCACTATAGAGCTAAATGAGCACACAAAAAAAAATCACGTCAGTGATGGCCAAACATGAGTAGATGCTCAAAACGAACATTTGAATAAAGTGTCATGCAGGGCTGTCAGGTTCTTTCTGCCATCTGCCATGAGGAGACTTACTGACAGAGCACATTATCTTCGGGTGATGCGCATACCACAAGGGTCATTTTACAGGTCAAGGGGCAATTTATGGTTACATAATCTAAATTTCATTTATTTTTATTGATTTACCTTGATCTACCTTGTCTTCCTAGTTGACTTTCCTGGGTTTATTATCAATGCTTCATCAGTGCATAATATTCCAAAGGGGAAAAAAAAATAGTAGTTCATTTTTGCCATAGAACTGAACAGTTTTGAGGAGGATGAAGAATGGTTCCCTGCTGTATTTTACAAATGTTTCCAGGCAAGTCCAACCGCTTTGTAGTAATGCAAAAATGGATTTCCAGTACAGTAAATTTCTTGTTAGCATAGCAAGTACATTATTTTATGATAGGGCGGCACAGTGGTTCAGTGGTTAGTGTGTCGCCTCATAGCAAGAAAGTCGCTGATTTGAGTCCCAGCTTGGTCAGATGACATTTCTGTGTGGAGTTTGCATGTTCTCTCTGTGTTGGCGTGAGTTTCTTTTAAGTGCTCCGGGTTTTTACCAAAGTCCAAAGACATGTGGTACAGATGAATTGGGTAAACAAAATTGGTGGTAGTTTATAAGTGTGTGTGAAGGGGTTTACAGCCTCCTTTCCACTGCACACGACAAGCGACAGACAGGAAGTCATTCATTTCCAATGGAGAGTAGTCCGGGAGCTGCGTGGAGTTCCGATCATCTCCGCATGCGGAAAAAATTCGGATCCGATTTGAGCTGCGGACTCGTTGAAATATTTGAACTCCTGCGACTAGACCGTATGCAACTGGCCGACCGGATGTGATGTATTCCAGTGTTGTACGAGCAGGGCCGTGCGTGCGAGATGAGAAATACTAGGTTTTTTGGTTATATTTTGAATTTTAAAAAGTCTATATAAACAAAAAACACTTGTGTTTATAAATGTAAGTAATAAAAATATAATGTTTTAATGTTGTCTCCACATTGCCCCCAATATTTTAGCGGTATATGAGTTTCTAGCATTCATTCGTTCATTCAACCATGGTAAACCCAAAGAGAATAAAGGCTCTTGCTTTTGCACTCCTTTATTTTGGACACTGCGAGAACAGCGTCCCCATGGTGCACGTCAGAAATGAAAATTCTGTGAAACTACCACAAGGGGGCGTATTCCGACAGTCATGCCCAAATGTTGTGTGCAGTGGAAAGGCGGCTTATGGGTGTTTGTCAGTACTGGGTTGAGGCTGGAAGGGCATTCGTGGAGTAAAACATTTGCCGGAATAGTTGGTGGTTCATTCCGTGAGTCTTAACTGTTGCATATTATTTTACAGTACATGTATTTAAGGTAAGGTAAGGTAAGGTAAGGTAAGGTAAGGTAAGGTAAGGTAAGGTAAGGTAAGGTAAGGTGAGGTGAGGTAAAACTTTATTGTCCCAGTTAGGGAAATTTGTCTTGGGCTGCAGTCATCGCCAACATGGACAAAACAATGCAACATACAAAAAACATATAAGTATTTCAATAAAAGTTACATGCCTCTCACCATATACACATAAATAATTTAGTTTAGTTTTAACTTTATTGTCCGTTCTGCTTGACACAGAAAGGAAATTTGTCTTAAACACTGGATTTAACACACAAATTACAAACATACAACAACCACACAATAACAACACTCATCAAGACAACAACATAGGTAATCAGATACTCTCAATCTAAACCACCCCTATTATTTAATAGCTTAATGCTCATAGGATAAAAAGACTTCTTATATCAGTTTAATCTACAGCAAGGTACTCTGAACCTTTTCCCTGAAGGTAACAACTCATATTCCTTGTGCAGAACATGTGATGTGTCACATACTATTTGTTTAGCACATCTTAATGCGTCCTGTTCATACATATCTTGCAGTGACATCAGCTCTGATACACCAATCTTTTTCCAGGCAGTGTAAATCAAACAAACTACTTTAGATCTCAGCTGCACAGACAAGTTGCCGAACTAGGCTGTGATGCCGTACCTCATTAAACTCTCAAGCACAGCCTTATAGAGCATGATCATACATTTCTGATCCACTCCATAAATTCTTAGACGTCGTAAAAAATGCAGTCGTTGCTGAAGCTTACTGCAGAGATTATCAACATGTATATTCCGTTTCTGTGAGTTATCAAAGAAGACACCAAGATATTTATATGAAGTGACCTGTGTGATGGTTTGAGTTTTGATGGTCACAAGCCTATGATCACCAATTCCTCTAAGGTCAAACACCATCTCTTTTGTCTAGCTGACATTCAAATCTAGAAGATTGTCGTCGCACCAACTCACAAATCTTCCAATCACTGAAAAATATTTAGATAAATCTCTATTCTTATTCAATAACCCTAAGATGACAGTATCGTCTGAGGATTTAACAATGTAATTATTAGAATAAGAACATCTACATGAATCTGTATACAAAGTGAACAAAACAGGTGAGCTAACGCAGCCCTGCGGAGCTCTCGTACTCGACATTTTGGCTCAGAAATTGTTCCACTAACACTAACCTGCTGTCTACGATCAGTTTTTTAAAAAAAAAAAGAGGAATACCAATTAATTAATAATGGATGACCTTTAAAATCATTTCGCTTTTTAATTAAAATATGTGGCTGCAACATGTTAAAAGCTGAACTAAAATCATCAAATAAAAGTCGCGCATATGAGCTTAGATCCTCTAAATGTTTATTAATATGATGAGTGACTGCTATCATAGCATCATCTGTCCCCCTCTTGCTCCTATATGCAAATTAAAAAAGTCTAAAAAAATATGTAGTGTTTATGTAACACCGCCTCCTAACGACATGAAAAAAAGGTCTCTTTTCCATGTTAAAAGGTGTTTGATGAATGTATGAAGTTTCTATTTTAGAACCAGCTTCTATTTCTGCCACATTGTGCCTTGAATGATCACCTTAGGTGCAGATTATTCAGTATTAAATGTTGCCGATGTGAGTTTCAATAACATTTCATGTGACATTTATTGCCATAATGAAAGCAGCAGCACATTGTTTACCACAGACCCTGAAAAAACAAATAAATAAACTAGCAAATGTAGTTTCAAGAGTTCACATTTAGGTCGGTTAAGCATGTAAGGGGAGCACGAGATCAGGTAGTTCTTGAGAGCTCCCAGTGGTAAAGGAAGAATGAAGGAGAAAGGGTGGATGGGTTTTTTTTTTCGGAAAACAAAGATAAGGGAGTAATTTTTGCTAGGCTGCTTATAGTGAGTTTGGATTAATCTGATTGGCTAACTAATGATTGTAGATGAGAGACCAGCTGTGGTCAATCATATCTCGTGCTCCTCTCCAAATTATTTTGTGAAACTTCACTTAGAGTGGGGTGAGGAGTGGAAGATGCAACCCTTACTCTAATGAATAAGGTTAGAAAATATATGGATCCGGCAGATTCTTGTTTTAGGATTTTATTTATGGATTTCTCCGCTTTTGCTACAGTGAAAATACACTCACCCACCCACTTTATTAGGTAAACCTGTCCAACTGCTCATAACGCAAATTTCTGATCAGCCAATCACATGGCAGCAACTCAATGCATTTAGGCATGTAGACATGGTCAAGATGATCTGCTGCAGTTCAAACTGAGCATCAGAATGGGGAAGAAAGTGGGTTTAAGTGACTTTGAACGTAGAATGGTTAATGGTGGCAGACTGGCTGGGCTGAGTATTTCAGAAACTGCTAAACTACTGGGATTTTCACACGTAACCATCTCTAGGGTTTACAGAGAATGATCTGAAAAAGAGGAAATATCAAGTGAGCGGCAGTTCTGTGGGCGCAAATGCTTTGTTGATGCAAGAGGTCAGAGGAGAATGGCCAGACTGGTGCAAGCTGATAGAAAGACATCAGTAACTCAAATAACCACTCCTTACAAACGAGGTATGCAGGAAGAGCACCTGCGAATGCACAACATGTCCAACCTTAAGGCGGTTGGGCTACAGCAGCAGAGGAACACACCGGGTGCCACTCCTGTCAGCTAAGAACAAGAAACTGAGGCTACAATTCACACAAGCTCATCAAAATTGGACAATAGAAGATTGGAAAAATGTTGCCTGGTCTGATGAGTGTCAATTTAAGCTGCGACATTCGGATGGTAAGGTCAGAATTTGGCATCAACACCATAAAAGCATGGATCCATCCTGCCTTGTATCAACGATTCAGGCTGGTGGTGGTGTAATGGTGTGGGGGATATTTTCTTGGCACACTTGGGGCTAAATGGTACCAACTGAGCATTGTGTAAACGCTACAGCCTACTTTTGTTGTATTGTTGCTGACCATGTCCATCCTTTTTTGACCACAGTGTACCCATCTTCTGATGGCTACTTCCAGCAGGATAATGTGCCATGTCATAAAGCGTGAATTATCTCATATTGGTTTCTAAACATGACAATGAGTTCATTGTATTCAAATGGCCTCCACAGTCACCAGAACTCAATCCAATAGAGCACCTTTGGGATGTGGTGGAACGGGAGATTCATGGATGTGCAGCTGAAAAACTGTAGCAACTGCATGATGCTATTATGTCAATATGAACCAAAATCTTTCAGGAATATTTCCAGTACCTTGTTGAATCTATGCCACAAAGGATAAAGGCAGCTCTGACAGCAAAAGGGGGTCCAAGTCGGTACTAGTAAGGTGTACCTAATAAAGTGGCCAGGTAGTGTTGATACTGTTTTGAAGAAGTTAGAAGGGTTGCAGGTCCACCAAACCCTTATCTCATGGAGAATTTTTTTTTTTTTTTTTTTTTTTTTTACAGGAATAACCACAGCATGTACTGGTAAATAGTATAAAGTCAGAAAATGTCATTTTAAACACTGGCCCTCCACACGGATGTGTTAAATCACAAATTAAAAATTTTCTATTTATATAAATGACATAAGCTGTGTTAATGAAAACTAACTCTTATAAAATGCTGATGATATGGCATTGTTGGTATGTGTAAAGGATACCCAGTCCTTAAGTAATGACCTCAATTTTGTTAACTTCATTTCAAGTCGGGCAGTTGAGCTCCAGTATTTGCACCTCAACGCTTGTAAGACCAAAAGAAATGTGTTCTAGTACTAAAAATGTACAAACACTCTGTGAACTCTGTGTTAGCGGCGAGGAAGTAGAACATTTGAGGAGTAGAATTGAAATATTTATGTACAGATATTAACTTTCAACTCTTCTTCATTAAAGGTGCTGTATGTATGTTTACTACTTTACTAATGATTCGTTTGCAGATAATTAAAAAACATGCCAGGTGAACATTTTTGTTTATCTGAAAAACAGTGCTGAAGTCAGATATTCTGCTTTGAAAATGTGTGTCTTTTTAACCTGCCCACTGCCAGTTTGGCCAATTACATTTCAGCAGGTTGCCTTGGTGGAAAACATCCTATTTTATTCATTCAGTCAGAAAGGCTCTCAAAGTATTAGTCAGTCACTGAAATGTGACATCTGGTGGATAGTAGCACATTACAATGGTGGACATGTCCTGAAAACACGCTGCATGATGGGACTTGCAGTGATAAGCAATTGGGCTGTTTGCACCTGACAAAACACGACAAAAATTTAAATACAGCCATTCAGAAGAACAGAATAGTGCACTTACTTCGAATGCTGTGTTCACACCAGACACGGAACGCGCGGATAAATCCCGCTATTCGCGTGTAAATAGCCGCGTGAACATTTGAGTTTACTCGCTTCATACACGCGTCAAACCCTGCTTCATTCGCGTGTCAAATTCACATCAGAACAGACGCGGATTTACGTGATGGGCAGGGCTTCTGTCTGCCCGAAGACTCTAGCTTCATAGCTAAATGGCTAACATGGATTTTATGAAGAAAATAACAGTGTTAATGTGCTTTATGAAGACTGAAAAACAGCGTCGATACGTTTAGGGTCGTGTCTGAGTCCACTACATTCTTTCAGAGGTGCATCCAGCTCTGTGAGCTCATAAACTCCTCCAGAAACTTCACCTGGATGACGGAGGCTTTCAGCGGTGCTTCTGACTGAGCCAAGCCGAGTTTGATGAACTGTTTAACAGTTTCTATGTCACAATCACGCCCCCACAAGAGCAAGCTTCTGATTGGTTAACGTGGCGCAAATGTACGCTGAAGTTCAGATTTTCGAAATCGCGCGTAACGCTAGTTAAGCGCGTCAAACTCGCAAAACGCTCAATTCGCCCCGCGCCATTCGCGCAATTTGCGTCATTCGCGCCGCACCATTCGCGCGTATCGCGCGGCAGGATGTCTATTCACGCGTTTGCATTAACTTAACATGTAAATCACTCGCGCTTGACGCGCGTTCCGTGTCTGGTGTGAACACAGCATAATACATAATAAACCTCTTTATCTTATTAAATGTAGATGCTAAATCACTGATTATTTTTGGCTTGCCTTGAGTCACAGTTCTAAAGTTTAATTTCAAACGGTTTATTTTATTTTCAAGATCTGAGGTGAACTATCTGCTGCTGCTTTTAGCAGTATGGCAATAAATGTGATGTGAAATTGCATTCAAACTCACATTATTAGCATTTGACACTGAATGAAGCGCATGAGGTGTACATGAGGTGATCATTGTCAGTTTATGCTGCTGTTCAGCTGCAAGAAATAGAAGCAGTTTCTAAAATATAAACTTCAGGTGTTGGTTAGGACAAAAAACTTCTTTTAATATGGAAAATATTCCTTCTATCGCGTGCCGATGCTTTTATTTAGAACACTTGAAATCAGCCTCAAATCAGCCTTTAGGCTTGATAGTCAGGCACACTGCTGTTGGTGTCGTCAATCTAGCAACCTGCACTTGAGTGTGTTTTGAACCAATTGTGCAATACCTAGTTCAACCACTGGGTGTCAAACTTACATTCTGCACCTTTAAAACACTGAGAATGTTTTTGAAAGGGCTTAGCAATGGTTGGGTTGAGAAAACCAAGAAATCCAAAAAAAAATGTTTTGACAATATTTTTGGTTCCTTTTTTTGTCTTGTGAAGGAGAGAGCTCTCAAATTTTATCTAAGATATCTTAATTTGTGTCCTGATGATGAACAAATGTCAGAGGGGATTAATACAACATGAGGGTAAGTAATTAATAATGGAATTTTTCATTTTTGGGAGAACAAATCCCAGATACAAGACTTCCAGATCACACTACTGGGATGTATTGTGCTATAGCAGCCAGCTACTGTCGATATACAATTTCTCCAACATAGTATGTGATCACCTGTTATATCTAGAGCATCACACCAATGGCCACTTTTGCATCAAAGAGTTACATTCAGTCTAATCTGAATTCCATCAGAATATAATTAAGAACGAAACCATTGCTATGCTGACCAGATTAGCAGTTTTGTGGGAAATGCAGGAAAATAGTTTAGTTTGTCTCTTTATAATCTTTCATCAAAAAGCAATCAGTTGCTCTGCCTCTATAACAAATACCCGCCTCCATACAGAAAAGATCCAATTTAGACTTATGGGAAGCATTATTTGCAGAAGTAAAGATGCTGACTCTGCAAGGAGATCAGGAAAAACGATTAACACATACCTGGGTTCACCTTCTTCTTCATTTATACCATCGTCTTCATCTTCACTTCCACTATATTCATATTCCTTCCCATCTGATTTTGAAACAGAGATGAAAACAATTTAAAACAACAGTACTGTTAGAATCAATGGAATATTCCACTGCGGTTGCTTTTAATGACACTTCAAATTTTAGGCTTCAGTAAAAATCACCGAACTTTTAAACGCACAAGAAACGTAACCTGTAATCACATTGATCTAAAAATCGCAAAACTAAATAACATAAAATAAAAAATCAGTCTATCAGGTATACCTTTCTCTTGTCTCCTCTTCCTGGTTCTGTCCAGATGATCTTTAAGTGTGATTCGTACTTGTCGTTCATTGGGAAGGTCTTTAATAAAGGAATGCCGTAAAAGCGTCTCTGTGGATGGCCTGTGGAGGTAGTTCTTCACCAGACAACTGTCCACAAAAGTCTGAAACTTTTTAGACCTTGAGGAGCAATTCAAATAAAAAGGGTTTATGATATATGAAGTCCAAATGATTAGCCCACATGTGAAATTTTAATTCTTTGCTTCAAGGAGATATTTTTTTCCAACACATCTTTAAACATTATAGTCTTATTTCTAATTAATTTATTTTACCTTTGCAGTACATACTATTTTTATATTATTTTGCAAGATACTAGTATTCAACTTAAAGTGCAATTTTAAGATTTAGGCAAGGCAAGTTTATTTATGTTGCACATTTCATGCACAGTGGCAATTCAAAGTGCTTTCTATAAACAGGAATAAAAGAGACAAGTATAAGAAAAATGAAAACAAATAATAAAAATTATTAAAAAAAAACTGATAAAAATGTGTTAAACAGATTACTAAAGAAAAAGAAGAGAAAAACATAAATGATCTGTTGACCGTAGCACAGTGCTCATTCAGTTAAGGCACAGCTAAACAGATTTAAATGTGCCTGAAGTTGGAGCACATCTGATCACTTTTGGATGTAGATTCAAGCAGTTGAAAGCTGATTCACCCTGCTTTGACTGAACTCAAATCTATGAATCTGCTGACTATCTTGTTTATATAATTCTAAAGATCTGAGTAATCTGTTAGGTTTGAATTCAGTGAGCATATCTGTAATGTATTGAAGGCCTAGGCCAATGAGTGCTTTATAGACAAGTAATAATACCTTCAAATCTACTCTGAATGTAACTGCCAGCATAAAAATCTGAGGACAGGTGTGATGTGCTCTGATTTCCAGGTTCTGGTCAGAGTCCAGGCAGCAGCTTTCCGAATGAGCTGCAAATGTCTGACTGTCTTTTTGGGAAGGCCTGTGAGGAGGTCGTTACAGTAATCCACCCTGCTGCTGATAAAAGCATGAACAAGTTTCTCTATGTCTTAACTAGAAACAAAGCATCTAATTCTTGCTATGTTTTTGAGATGATAGTATGCTGATTTACTAACTGCTTTGACTATGACTATTGAAACTTAGATCTGACTCCAGAGTCACACCCAGATTTTTTGACCTTTAAATTTAAATAGATTTTCATGTTAGCTAGGCAAGTCATTGGTTTATGGTTGTTTGTTTTGTAGGCAATCAAAATAAAAATGACTAATAACATGTATATATAACATAGAGGGCTAATAACATGGACCTGTTTAAATAAATAAATAAAGAATTAACTAAAAATATTCCAGCCAAAAAAACAAACAAAAAAGACAAGGAAATACTGTGAAAATATCATTGGTCTCTTAAACATCAGGAAAAAAATTCTGTATGTTTTCAGTATGTAAGCAAATATTAATTGCTACTAAATACTGGATACACAAAAAATCCTATGATTGAACCCAAGACAGCACCGTGAACCAGGCATGGGCTGGTATAACATTTTGACGGTATGATAACCTTGGATATAAATATCAAGGTATCAAGGTTTTGTGATTACTGCTAAAATATACTGTAAAATATATTCTTTTTAAATGTCTGGGTAAAAAAAAATAATCTTTTCCCCCTTTGTACACAATATACTTTAATTTGGGAAACATTTAAAAAAAAATTTGAATGGTAAACAATCTGAAAACTAAATAATTCAAATGAGTTATGGACTTCTGCTGTCTTCCTTTGTTTCAAAAACACATATTTTTTAAAATTTAAAATGGACTGTTTTCCTTAAAAAAAAAAAAAAAAAAAAAAAGGAATAAAAAAATCTTAATTATACCTTAGGAACGGTTTAACAGAAAAATGTGACGGTTTTAAAACCTTGAACTTTCCAAACTGTGGAAAACCTATAACATGGTTATCATCCTATGCCTACTGTGAACCAAAATTTTGTGATACTTATATATAATAATAATAATAATATTAATAATAATAATAATAATAATAATAATAATAATAATAATAATAATAATAATAATAATCTTACCATTTCTTAGACTTTAGTTTGGGAGGAGGGTTTCGTGGAATGAGAAACAACGCTCTCATTGGATGCATATCACACAAGGCTGTAACGAAAAATGGCAATAATAAAGAGCATTGCAAGATATGCAACTTGCACAGACTTACACAGATTATAATTTTGAATATACATAAGAATTGCGTAAACTCACGTGGCACTCCCTCTGCCATCTCCAAAGCGGTGATACCCAGAGACCACACATCACTCTGAAACATTTGGTAAAACTAAATTATAGGAGAGTGAAACATTCATCGACTGATGTAGAGTTGTTTGATCTAGGAGCTGTTAACACTAGCTGCATGTCGTTTTAAAATGCTGATTTATTGAAATAAACCAATTGAAATCGGAGGGTTTTATTGTGTTTCAAAAAATATCTCCAGCCATACTATGCAGACGCATGATATGGGTTCATTTACACTTACTGGGAACGCATATAATTTACTGGCATACATACTTGCAGTCTATTGGTCATATTAGAGAAACTTGATGAATCCGAGAACAACAGAACAATAGACAGACTGAAATGGAACCCAAACGTTTCCAATGTATGCAGCTTTAAAACAAAAAGTGCCAACATTTTAGAATTGCTTAAATTCTCACCCTATAGTCATATGTTGAGTCTGGGTTTTCATCGCATGCTATGACCTCCGGCGCCATCCAATATGGCGTCCCGATAAATGTGTTTCTTCTTCCAATCGTCCTGTCTAACTGAGCACTGACTCCAAAATCCACTGAAAAGACAAAAATAATCGTATGAAAACAGTTCAAAGCAGATATACACCCACCAGCTACTTTATTAGGTACACCTTACTAGTACCAGGTTGGATCCCTTTTTGGCTTCAAAACTGCCTTAATCCTTTGTGGCATAGAATTAACAAGGTACTGGAAATATTTTTCCAGAGATTTTCACGCAGTTGCTGCAGATTTGCACATCCATGATGCAAATCTCCCGTTCCACCACATCCCAAATGTGCTCTACTGGATTGAGATCTGGTGATCGTGGAGGCCATTTGAGTACAGTGAACTCATTGTCATGTTTAGGAAACCAGTCTGAGATGATTCGTGCTTTACAACATGGCGTGTTATCCAGTTGGAAGAAGCCTTCGGAAGATGGGTGGACGGTGGTCATAAAGGGATGGAAATGGTCAGCAACAATATTCAGGCAGGCTGTGGTGTTGACACGACACTCAATTGGTTCTAACGGGCCCAAAATGTGCAAAAAATATATCTCCCAGACCTAGGCATGGGACTACTGTTTTCAAGGTATACCACGGTTTGGAATAGTCAAGGTTATAAAACCGCAAAAATTTTCTGTTTTACCGTTCTAAGATCTATGTAAGTATTGTTTTAACATGTTTTTTTAACTATTATTTTATTTAGTTTTTTAGGGCAACAGCATCTCCAGCAGAAAAGGACACTCCAAATCAAAAGCTACTGGTCAGCTCATGATTTAGCAAACATTTGAGAAACAAATGACTTATAAACCAACATCCTCTGCTGTTATGTGCATCTTATGTGCTATGCACCTGAGCAGTGTAGTGGCTTACGCACTTTATATCCAAAGACAAGAAAGATAAAACAAAGATGCATTGGTAACACTTTACAATAAGGTTCTTAGGTAATGCATTTATTAACATGAACTAATCATGAACAACACATGTAAGAGCATTTATTAATCATAATTGAACATTTACTAATGCATTATTAACATCCAAGTCCATGCTTGTTAACATTAGTTAATGCACCATGAGTTAACATGAACTAACAATAAACTACTGTATTTTCAGTAACTAACGTTAACTAACATGAACAAATACAGTAGTAGATGTATTGTTCACTGTTTGTTCATGTTACTAATGCATTAATTAACATTAACTAATGAACCTTATTGTAAAGTGTGACCAATGGATTTTCAAGTTGTAAAGAAATCTATTTTGTAAACATTAAGATAGCAGGTCAATGATTTATTTATATTATTTAGCCTAACATGTGTACTGTTTCAAAATATTTAAAATGTTTATTTTTTAAATATAATATCTTGTGTTTTTTTTTTTTTACCCAGAAGAACGTATTTTAGAGCAGTAATCAAAAAACTGTCATACCGTGAAACCGTGATATTTTTATCCAAGGTTTTCATACCGTCTTATACCGGCCCATGCCTACCCACACCATTTTATCACCACCACCAACCTGAAGTGTTGAATCAAGGAAGGATGGATCCATGCTTTCATGTTGATGATGCGAAATTCTGACTCTACCATATAAATGTTGCAACAGAAATCGAGACTCATCAGACCAGGCAACGTTTTTCCAATCTTCTATTGTCTAACTTTGGTGAGCCTGTGTGAATTGTAGCCTCAGTTTCCTGTTCTTAGCTGACAGGAGTGGCATCTGGTGTGGTCTTCTGCTGCTGTAGCCCATCTGCCTCAAGGTTGGATGTGTTGCACGTTCAGAGATGCTCTTTTGTATACCTCGGTTGTAACGAGTGGTTATTTGAGTTCCTGTTGCCTTTCTATCAGCTCGAATCAGTCTGGCCATTCTCCTCTAACCTCTGGCATAAACAGGGCATTTGCGCCCACAGAACTGCCGCTCACTGCATTGTCTCTTTTTCGGATTCTCTGTAAACCCTAGAGATGGTTGTGCGTGAAAATCCCAGTAGATCAGCAGTTTCTGAAATACTCAGCCCAGCCTGTCTGGCACCAACAACCAAGCCAAGTTCAGAGTCACTTGAACCACCTTTCCACCCCATTCTGTTGCTTAGTTTGACCTGCAGCAGATCGTCTTGACCATGTCTACATGCCTAAATGCATTGAGTTGCTGCCATGTGATTGGCTGATTAGATATTTGTGTTAACGAGCAGTTGGTTAGGTGTACCTAATAAAGTGGCTGGTGAGTGTTTATTGTGTACATGCATACTTTCTATGGTCAACAATGTTGTGTTCGCACTCCTAATTAAAAAAAGAAAAAAGAAATTTCAGTGAATCTGCAAACTATGTCTGCAAAAATGACAAAAACATGACAAAATTAGAGCAATAAGCAATAAGAAAACAATGAAGGAAAATATCTAACATTCTGAAGTCTGAATTGTGAACATTCAGGCATTGTTTTACATAGTCAACATTTCTTTAATGCTGATATTTGATAAAGGGATGTTTGTTGCTGTTCTTACCGAGTTTAATCTCAGCGTTCTCTGTCAGAAGCACATTTTGTCCTTTAATGTCTCTGTGAATCACATGATGCGAGTGCAAGTGTAACAGACCCTGAAAGCACAAAAAGCAAAGCAAATCGTTGAATGGTTGATTTAAAATGGAGCAAACCAGTCAAGTCCAACTTAATTAAACAGGCTTGGTTTTCCTTACTGTGACAAATATAGTGGGGGAAATAAGTAGTGAACATGTCATGTTTTTTTTTTTTTTTTCTGGGAATAACGTTTCTAAAGGAGGTGTTAACTAAACAATACAAAATAAATAAAATAACAATGACATGACACAAAAAGAAAATACTGACCTACTGACATGTATTTAATACTTCATATAAAATACTTTTTTTTGTGATGGCAGCTATCATTTAGAGATAAATTCATATGAATAGCTCAGGTGTGAATTTTTCCCAGACTTCAACAGTGTGTACAAATCTTGATGGTTCTGTGGGTCTCATCTATCAAATCTGAGCTTTATGTTGTAATTTCTATTGGATTCAAGTCAGGTGATTGGCTGGGCCATTCTTCAGCTTAATTTTCTTTCTCTGAAAGCATTTGAGAGTTTCCTTGGCTGTGTTTTGGATCATTATCCTGCTGAAATGTCCACCATAAAATCATCTTCATCATCCTGGTAATGTAGATGTTGGACTGAAGCAGCTGATACTTATTCATAATAACAAAGAGCAGAGGATTGCTAAAGAACTACTGAAAGATTTCAGTTGTTGTCTGTGTTTTCAATCCCATTCTGCACCTCCCTTTCTTCATGTGTTTAATACTTTCTCCCTGTGTCATTTCAATTTATTACACATAACTTCATTTATAAAAGTAACTAGTTTCGTTTCCTGTTCATTTGGATTTCTTTGGTTACCAACATCTGTTGAAAATGTCAAGTCAACGGCACCTTTAGAAATATGTTTTCTTAGAAAAATGATGACATGTTCAATACTTATTTCAAGCACTGTATCTGAGTGAGACAGCTACCTAATGAGAAACAAAATAGGACGAGGCTATATTCCATCCCTCTGGGATTGATAGGACCGTTAGACATTAGGTATTGCTAACAAAATGGAGGTAGATGTGAATGGCAGTTTTAGAGTGGTGAAAAATAACTCTACGCCAGCACTCTCACATGTAGGATCTTTTATTGAGGAGCATGACAACGAGGACAAGAAATCACCCTGTATTTTTGTTCAATCTTGGGCCAATGCCTTTCACAAATGTGACAGACATTAAGTATGTTTACATGGACATAAATACTCTGATTTGAATACAATTATGGCAATACTCTGATTAAGCGTCTTACATGTAAACAGACACTTTTGGTTCCCTTAATTTGGCTAAAGTCATAATCAAAATAAACACAAAACAAATTCAAATCGTATTCCTATTTTAGTCACATTATTGGAATGCAGTACAGATTTAAAGCCCTTAATCAAACCATTACCATCATCTAGGACTGCATTTCAAGAGTTAACACTTAGCTGATGATCGATTATAAAGCTTGTTTGGCATGATGTTCCGGGAGAGAGCCCTGAGTTTAAAAGATCCTGGAGCCCAGGGCTCCCTCCTGTTCCCAAGGCGAGAGGGGAGTTTGAGCTCAGGTAGATCTTGAGAACTCCCCTGCTGTAGTAGCTAATGAACAGATAGGGATTGCTCTTAAGAGATAACTACTTACTAGGAGCATGTCTATGGTGCCAATTTGGATTAGTCAATAAAGTTGCATGTTTTGGGACGGTGGGAGGAAACCCAAAAACCCGAGGGAAACCCATGTGAGCAAGGGGAGAAACTGTAAACTCAGCACAGAAATATCGGCTGGCTTGGTGAGGACAAGAACCAGTGACGTTCTTGCTGCGAGGCAACAGTGCTAACCACTGGGCCACCATGCCACCCATCTAGGAAATGAGGAGGAGTAGGGGTGGTAGGGGGGATTCTTTAAAACGAAGATGGCTGTTATATGGAACTTTGGGTATTTATAGTGGCTTAGGAATCGTCTGATTGGTAAATCATAAATTGAATAATGTGGGACCGACTGCAAGCAATCATGAGCACGTGATCCTCTTGAAATTAGTTCATACATAACCTTCACTTTGTGACAGGATACACAGATATAGTACCATTACACACACAAACTGTTGATTCTGGACACTTCAGAAGACACTGAATATTGTAGTGCGGTGATGTAATAAATACACTATAACTTGTAAAACGGCAACATGAAGGAAAAGCAACTCATGTAAGCATCTTAATCATTTTATTAACGTATTATTTAGATTAAGGTAAATCATTTGATCAGTGATGTCCTTGCCACTGTATTCAATGAGACAGACTGCTATAGCATCTTACATGACAGGAAGTGAAGAGAAGAAATTTTGAGAAAAGGTTGAGGTTTTTAATAAAAAATTACGAGGACACATTATTTAACGAAAAAACTGTACAAAAGCACGCACATCTCTCTTAATTGGGTGCTCAGCCTAAACCGCAAAAAGTGCAAATTAAATGTAAATCAAAGGCGGCAACACCAAGGCTCCAAAAATACAAATTTATTAAATTTAAAAAGGCTGACATAGAGCGTGTAACGTTTCGAGCCACCCGGCTCTTCATCAGACAATGTTCATCACAATCAGGTGCTCCTTTTTGTACACTTCCGGATCACATGATCTCCTCTCGCATATGCCAACATATACATACATGCATATGTATACATACACAATCGTTCATATATACATATACATATATACACATGAATATATGTATACACATTCACATAAACTCTATAGCTTTGATATTTCAAATCAAATTACAAAAAATATATATAAATAAATAAATGAACTATAATATTACATCACAAATTATACACATTAATTAACTAAATTAATAAATAAAAAATGCACAGATAAAACATTTATTATAATCACTAAAATATCTCATATAAAATAAAAACTGTAAAAACTTGACTTAAATGGCAACTTATGCTTAGTTGACGATATTTGTTATGACATTAGTCATAATTAGGCCCACACGGAATATGCGCACAGAATTCCGCAAATGTTTTGCCCATCATTAATTCTGTTTATTTACTTGAGTAAATGTGTGTAAATTTATAATTATTCAGTTTTTAAATTAATTACAGTAATATTATAGACTAATGTCCAGGATGTTTCTGGATGCTGCTTTTCGTTTTGTCTTAACATAAATGTACTGGGAGACCAGTTCGTGTTGGGATCTGTTGAGAAGATGTCTGAGTGGATTCAAATAAGTATTATGATTGGAAGACAAATCTACAGTAATATCTTTGCGAGATAACGCAAAACATCTTTGCGAGGGAACGCAAAACTTTGCGAGAGAACGCAAAAACTTAGAAATATATATTTTCCTCCCACCCATTTTTTTCTTTCACCTATTTTTTTTTTTTTTCACCCAGCCAATTTTTTTCTCCTCCACTACGTCCCTTCCGGGGTTCCGTAGTTTTATCCCAGTTAGTCGAACCATGATTTTTATAGCTGTAGACTTGTGGAAACCTGTCTACAAAGTCACACACGAGCTGGATATTATTGATATTTTCCAGTGTGTGTGTTACATTCCGGTTCACTACCGGTGTGTGGTACATTCTACGTCACTTCCGGGGTGTGGTACATTCCCTTTCCGAAGGGAATCTGTAATTGTAAATTTGTTTCGGGATTTGTAAAAGTGTTTTGCGTCTTGTAAATTTGTTTTCTAAAATGTAAATTTGTTTCGTCCTTTGTAAAATTGTTTTTCCTATGTAATTGTGTCTGATGATAGGTAAAAATGTTTTTCAAAATGTAAATTTGTCTCGAGCTTTGTAAAAGTGTTTCAAACTTTGTAATGTTGTTTTGCACTTCCCGGCCACCGTACAAATCATTATGAGGGGATAGCGTTCAGCAGGTCCACCATCATTTCAAGAATGGGTTACAGGACTGGGGAAGGTGGCGGCATATGAAAAAATGACATATAGATTCCTCAATAAATTGTATGAAAAGATGGGGAAATTATTAGGCAGTTTTGGAGAATGAATAAAGTCACTGTGGTAAGACGCACAGTAAAAGTGTAATTATCTTATTTGATTTATGTATTATTATTATTGTTATATTGATGTATTTATGTAATGTTTTATTTTTACTATTATTATGTTCTGTATGTGTGTGTTTTTATTTATTTATTGAGTCTTATATTATTTATTTCTATTTACTGGATTTATGATAGCAACATCTAATGACAGCCACTGCCGCTGCTGGGAAGGGGAGGGAAAAGGGGATGTTAAAAATCTAATCATAAAAAAATAAATACATAAGTAAATGAGAGGAAAGACTTGCTAATCAACGTCTGTTATGCAAATATTCATACTTATTATTTCAGTTTAACTTAGTAAAGTCCTTATGTGTGTGTGTGTGTGTGTATTTATTTATAAACAACAAAAAAATCTTTCATAACTGTGTTTCAGGTCATTCCCAAATTTCACTGCAAGCCTGATGTTTTGTTTTTGGTAATCAACAACAGAGGATTCATTCATGATCTGGACCAGAAGAAATTGTACAATTTTCTACATGCATGGAATGTTTTATAATCCAAACCCCTTTTATGAATAAAATTCATGTCTTGTCCAAAGATTATTGTCAATGAAATACATTGTGATGCGCTGGGCTGGTTTCCATTGATGTTTGCTGCTTTCTTTTATCTACATAAGCTTAAGGGCAGATTCATCCACGGATAAAACGCAGGGTACATCACACATTATATCAAATGAGTCTTTATATCTGCTAACTCACCCTGAGAACCTCTCTGCAGACGTAAGCGATCCAGTCCTCCTTAAGGCAGTTCCCTTTGGTCTTCTTCAGCAGGTCTGTGACCGACCCAGCGCCACAATACTCCATCACCAGCTGAAGCCAAACACACACAAGAAATACATTTAACTTACAAAAAAAAGCATGACAGCACAGAATAATGCAATTTATCTCAGCAACTTTATCAGGACGATGAAATCCAGATACACGCAAACACACGCAATCACACACACACTTACACAGCTGCATGCCCGAAGGCCAGGCCCGGTGCTAAAATATAAAATATTATATTTTATTTAATATTTTAATTAATTTTATTTAATTATTTTAATTCTGAAAATTATAAAATTAAAGCAATAGCCCAGAGATCTGTTCCCCGCGTCAGGTCAGGGTGCACCTGTATAAACACGCACATGGTGGCGGAGGCGCACTCTAAACTCAAACGGGAGAAAACTGGACTAGAGGATGACATGAAGGCGAGCAGCCTAATTCAGTACATGTTTTGGTTAACTAATTATTTAAATACAACTCTATTGAGGTGGCGATGTAGTGGCGACGTAGTGGCGCAGTAGGTAGTGCTGTCGCACTGCTGTGCGCCTCACAGCAAGAAGGTCAACGGGTCGCTGGTTCGAGCCTCGGCTCAGTTGGCGTTTCTGTGTGGAGTTTGCATGTTCTTCTTGCGTTCGCGTGGGTTTCCTCCAGGTGCTCCGATTTCCTGGGTACAGGTAAATTGAGTAGGCTAAATTGTCCATAGTGTATGAGTATGTGTGTGAATGAGTGTGTGTGGATATTTCCCAGAGATGGGTTGCGACTGGAAGGGCATCCACTGTGTAAAAACGTGCTGGATAAGTTGGCGGTTCATTCCGCTGTGGCGACCCCGGATTAATAAAGGGACTAAGCCGACCAGAAAATGAATGAATGAACTCTCTTGAGCTCTAAAGGGATGCAACGCAAAAGGAATTTGCTGTTAAATTGAATTCAACAGAGCTGTCAGTCATTTTCACATTTTTAAGTTAGGGATTAATATTAGAGTAGCCTCATAAAATGTTTAGTTGGACACTGCACATTCCCACAGTAGTTTACACTATAATTAATATTTTAATTTATTATATTCATTATTATTAATAGTAAATAGTAGATATTAATAGAAATAGTAGATATATTATAAGTAGCGCTGTCAAAATGAGTGCGTTAACGCATGCGATTCATTTTAAATAATTAACGCGTTAAAAAAATTAACGCAGTTGCAGGTTTTTTTACTTCCTGTTGTGGTGGACGTGTGTTTAACATGCGAGAAATGTGGATAAGACCAAGGAAGCACTTTTTGAAGGCAAGTTTCAGTATAAAACAATTAATGTCGCATCACCAGGCTCTCCAAAGTTTCATGCAATCATGTTTCATTTTTAACTTTCGACTTCTGTTGTAAGTTGATACCGCATGGCGAACAGAAAGAAAATCCTCCGCATTTCGTGACTCGGTGTTCCTTTAAGGTAATAAAATCACTGCTTAGGCCACACGGTAGAATTTTAATAAGAGTATAATCTTAATCATATTAAAATCGAAGTATTGGTGTCTTATGTAAATGTACTCAAAGTCTCTGGTGAAGTCGCGAGCTGTCAAAGACAGGGCATTAATCTGCCTTTCAGCATGAGCCCTCCAAGTTTAGCGTGTTTCCTCATTAAACGCAACGAAAGTGTATGCTTCGCGTTGTTGTGTCAGAATCCTTGTAAAATACAGTAATACTTTAGGACGCTTAGTTTAAGCAAATTTGATGAACGTGATCATGCGTGTTGAATCTGAGGGGAGTCGCTCCAGTATGAAAGCCCGTTGGGGCCAAAACGTCTGCAGCGCGTTGTGTGTGTGTCTGTGTGTGTGTCTGTGTGTGTGTCTGTGTCAGGGGTGGAGTGAGCAACATATCTGAGTAGGGGCATGTGCGCACGAGACGTACCTGAAGGACAGTGGGGGTGAGTTTCGCGTGCTGGATTTGCATTGTGAACATTAGATACAAGTTAAAAAGGTATTACTTTTTATTTCATATGTTAAAGTTTTAGTTATAACACTCCCAAAATCATTCCGCAAAAAATTCACTGATTTTTACCAAAATTGAAATAGCAAAAAATGTCCGCAGATTTCATCTGGCCCTACTAATAGCCTAATGGTTTATGGTGGTGTTTTTACAAATCCCAACTAGAAAAAAAAAAACACTTATGACAACCTAATATAACTCTTTATTTTTACCTTTATCTTTAAACTATTATATTATTTGAAAAAATAGAAATAAATAAGGAGAATTAAATATAATTTTACCACTCGTTTGGCGCTAAAGTCATCCGTCTGCATTTTAAACAGTATCGTTGCATAACCTTCATTGATAAAATTAGTAATAACGAAACTGAGCATATTATTATTACTGTAAAAAGTATATTACAGCCAAAGTAATAAATAAATAAGTGAATAAATATTCTAAATGAAATGAACAGGAGGGATCAAAATTGGAAACCACGTCTAGTGCCCCCCTATGGAATTAGAATGCCTCCTCAGTTATGACATCCTGGTGCTCAGCCTGCCGAAGTCCATTATACAACAGGCAAAAAATAAATAAATCTACAAACTAACGTGACATATGTTTCCAAATATTTTTAACATTTCACTGATCGAAAGAGTTTGACAAAGCAAACCTTCTGGAAATGTTAGTCGTTTTCTGGCTGCTGGAGAATATATTTAAACAACTACTGTATTTGAGAGTTCAATGGCAATTTAGAAATAGGTGGGTTTGAGCTGAGGTTTCATCTACGTGGACATTTGTTCACAATTATTAAGTTCAGATAAAATAGCTCTTACTTCCAGTGTTGTGTTCATATTTATCATTACGTTGATTTATGTAGCATCATGGTCCTGCGAGACACGACATTTCGTTCCGCTGTATGTCCACACATGTAGCAGAATGGCAATAAACCTCAACTTGACTTAACTTGATATTACCCCTAGATGTTACTTCCTTTTTTTTTGACTGCCCTAACCACAGTGTTAGGGCAATCACTCTCATAAATAAAATGTATACAGTATGTGGCCTTCGCTTCAGTGTTAAAAAATGAATAAATAATAAAAATAGATTTTTTTTAGTTCCACTTATTCAAATCAAACTACATTTTTTATTTGCATATATTGAAATCTCTTTTTTTGGAATGATATAAATGAAATAATAACTATTCTGATGAGTCTATCTCTTTGAGATGTGGATGTCTAGAAACAAAAGACATAACTGGTCACAGATTTAAAAAAAAAAAAAAATGTTTCTCCAACCTCACAACTATGACACATCTAGTGATGAGAGACACATCAGACATGACTAAAATCCTCTGTAGCAAACTCAGAATGTTTATTTGAGTTCAGAAGTCTGTCTACTCACCCAAAGCTGGTCATCCTGACCTGCAGGACTTTTCTTGACAAAGGCACCATAATATGTGGCAATGTTTCTGTGATGGGAATGAGTTTTCAACATGTTAATCTCCAGTTTGATTTCATCTTCCTCGTCCTGTGAAAGACAAAAATACAGATGTAAACATTTTCACTGAATCCATTGCCCTATCTCTCTCTCTCTCTCTCTCTCTCTCTCTATATATATATATATATATATATATATATATATATATATATATATATATATATATATATATATATATATATATTGGGGGGTTTCGCTCACTATTCTGCTGCCCAAGGAGCCCGCCTAGGTCGCCTCTATGCACGCATTGCCAATAAACACACGTCGGCCGCAACAGGAAATGAAAAAAAAAAAACTGTAACTGCGTTATTTTTTTAAATGCGTTAAATATTTAAAAATAATCACGTGCGTTAACGTGCTAATTTTGACAGCCCTAATATATATATATATATATACAGTTGAAGTAAGAATCTGTCTTTTTTAAATATTTCCCAAATGATGTTTAACAGAGCATAAAGATTTTCACAGTATGTCTGATAATATTTTATTTTCTGTAAAAAGTCTTATTTTTTTTTATTACAGGTAAAATAAAAGCAGTTTTCAATTTGTTAAAAACCATTTTAGGGACGAACTTATTAGCCCCTTTAAGCTAACTTTTTTTTTCCGAATGTCTACAAAACAAGCCATCGTTATACAACAACTTGCCTAATTACCCTAACCTACCTAGTTACCCTACCTAGTTAAGCCTTTAAATGTTACTTTAAGCTTTATAGAAGTGTCTTGAAAAATATCTAGTAAAATATTATTTACTGTCATCATGGCAAAGATAAAATAAATCAGTTATGAGAAATGAGTTATTAAAACTATTGTTTAGAAATGTGCTGAAAAAATCTTCTCTCCGTTAAACAGAAGTTGGGGGAAAATTAAACAGGGGGGCTATTAATTTGGACTTAAACTGTATATATATGAAATCTGGAAATTCCCTTCATAATAAACCATTGTGAAGACTACCGTCTTAAGCACTCATACATAAAGCCTGCTTTCACAGTCCTTAGGGGAAAGACAGGAGAGGTGTGCATGGAAGTGATGTTCAGGGTAAAGGAAATCTGGTGCCTGAGGTCAAATGACCATTGCATTGCTCTGTTATCTCCCACCGCAGATAATACAAGACGGAAAAGCAACCAGGAAACAGCATTTGTGAGATGGGGAAAGCAGAGGGTTTCGCTGAAAGCTTCATGACTTAGTCACTATGCTCAAGCATTCAATTCAGTGTCAAGTTACAAAAAGCAAATTCTGCATAAATGAACCAACAAATGTGTTGCTTTGTTTAAAGAGCCGTTTACTATTCCTGTGCATAATTTTGTCAAAAATATATATTTGAAAGTATAAAAAGTACAAATTTAACATATGAAATAAACAAATATCACTTTAACTTTTATCTACGATTTACAATGCTAACATAATTAGAACCACATGTTTGGTGAAGTCTATAAAACATCCACCAAATGACAGAAAATATTACCTTACAAACTGTAATTTACATAAATCATATAATCATTTGCATATTATTCAATAACATTACTTAAGTTAATATAATAACTGAATAAAAACATATTTAAACACATTTAGATGTGAATAAATAGACTTAGAAGGCGACACAGTGGCTCAGTGGTTAGCACTGTCGCCTCACAGCAAGAAGGTCAATGGTGTTTGCATGGGTGTCCTCTGGGTGCTCCGGTTTCACCCACAGTTTAAAGACATGACTATAAGTGAATTGAATAAACTAAATTGGCCGTAGTGTATGTGTAGTGTATTGCGCGAAGGAAAGTGTATGGGTGTTTCCCAGTAATGGGTGGCAACTGGAAGGGCATCCGCTGTGTAAAACATATGCTGGATAAACGGTGGTGAATAAAGGGACTAAACTGAAGGAAAATGAATGAATGAATAAATAAATAGAATTAATGAGGGACTAAATTACTAATGATCATATTCTTAAGCAGCGGCCAGGCAGACATGAAATTTAATTAGGCAAAGCCTGTATCAGACAGATCAATATAATACTGAATTTGTCATTACTCACAGATCTTCCTCTAGAGAAAAAAAAAACAGTATGTTTTACAGTATGTCTTTAAAGCAACATGCCACAGTTCTCAATAGAGCCAAAGGCCACTGATTGTTTAGAAAGCTGAATAAAAAACTTAATAACTTATGAATAGATTTTGAAAATAGATTCATAAGCTCTCAACTGGATTCTTGATTTGATTCAGTGAATATAGATTTAATAGAAAGGCAATGGAATATTGAGTACATATATATATATATATATATATATGTATATGTATATATACATATACACATACATCTCAATTTAAAAAGATAGTTCACACAAAAAAAAGGAAATTCTGACATTATTTATTCACCCTGAAGTGTTTCCAAACTTTGAGTTCCTCTTTTCTGTTCAAACACTAAAGATGATATTCTGAACAATGCTGAAAACCTGTTAACCACTGACTTCAAAACAATTTTATGGAAGTCAACGGCTACAAGATTTCTTCAAAATATCTTCTTTTGTATTCAACAGAATAAAGGAACTCAAAGTTTGCAAAAGCTGAGTAAATGATAACATAATTTACATTTTTAAGCCAAGAACCCCTTTAAATCTGTATATTTTCCTTCCATAAAAATAAACTGAAATACATCTAAAGCTGGATCTTTATTATACCTTTACATTTGTGTTTGTTAAATATATGTATATGTATGTATATATGTATGTATGTATGTATATGTATATGTATATATATATGTTTATATATATGTTTATATATATATATATATATATATATATATATATATATATACATTTATTTATTTATTTTTTTTCTGTTTGTTAATGCAACTTTTGGGCCACAAAACCAAATAATTGAATTTTGTAGTTTTGAAAGAAATACATCAAACAGTTACGGGTTAAAAGTGAGTGTGTGTGTGTGTGTGTGTGTGTGTGTGTGTGTGTGTGTGTGTGTGTGTGTGTGTGTGTGTATATATATATATATATATATATATATATATATATATATATATATATATATATATATATATATATATTTCTGTGAAATATCCCTTTAAAAGCAAATGTTGTGGGATTTAAATTTAAATTGTTAAAATCTGGCAACCTCAAGGATGAAAGCATGATTATATGTAATATAATGTATTTGAGGATTCAAAATTTAAATCAACTATGCAGCAATTAATTTGTATTTTGGTTATTTTTTATTTAAAGTTCTGCATTAAAGTTCACAAGTGTGTATCGACCCAAGGATGATAGTATGACTTGATTTGATTTTGAGGTGCTGATTTAAACAATTTGCCTTCAGCTGAAGACAAGTAGGCCTAAGTGTGTTTTTCTCATACCTCTGTCACGTCCATGACCTTGATCGCTGCCAGCTGTCCTGTTTTCACATGTCGACCCTGTCAAACACAAGGACAACAGTAAGATATAACATGACCATGTAGCCCTGCTGAAGTATGTAAACACATGCATGCTTATGGCTTCTGAACTCTTGTGTTTCATGTGTTTCATCCTTGAAGTGTATCTAAACAACAAGTAGCTCTACAGTGTGTACAGTGACAAATCAGGAAGGTTTGCCAGTACAAGTTGTGTTTCTGTTAAAAGTAAATGATCAGTTATGTATGTATGCGTGTATATATATATATATATATATATTTTTTTTTTAATTATTATTATTATTATTTTTTTTTTTTTCAATTTAAAAGTAAATCTGGTATAATTGCCAAGATTTCCTGTTAGGACGAAAGCAGCACAAGTACTTTTGTTCCAGTATCAACAGCCATACCTTATTTTTCCCCTCCACATAGGAGTTTGCAGTGTTTCCATTTAGATGTTTTATAAACGTAATGCATATTGGCAATATTAACAACAACAACAACAACAACAACAACAACAATAATAATAATAATATAATAATAATAATAATAATAATAATAATAATTATTATTATTATTATTATTATTATTATTAGAATGTTTTAGGATGACAATTTTTTTTCTTGTTCAAATTAAGCATGTGGTAAATATTTTGTCGAGGGCAGTTGTTAATTATGTGATTAATAAGAATGATATGCCTTATATGATTAATTGAATTATATTTATTGAATTATATGCCCTGTGAATTAGTATTTGCCCTTCAAGGTTCAAAATCAAATTTAAAGACTTTAAAAGAAAATAGACAATGAGCAAATAAATGTAATAAACACTGAAAAATGTTTCACTAATATACAAAAAATACAAATATTTTACATTTAATATATTACAATTTTTAGTAACAGTTTCTTTTTCAACAATGTTAAATGTGACATTTTATCTCACTGTCAAAAACGCTTCTAAATCATCTTTCTTCTCAATTTTATGTGCTGCGGCATTATTTAGTCGACTCTGATTTTGTGTTACTTTCTGGTCTTTCCTTCCGTCAACAGAGCAATGCGGCGAAATGATGATAAAAGCTGATCCTGATTGGCCCTCGTGCGTGCATTCAAAATGCTGATTGGCTCACAGAAAGAACCTTATAGAGCCAAGCTAAAGCTTGACTTTGTAGATAAAAACTTTTTTTCTTTTTTTAAATGAAAAAGTCTTAAAATATAAACAACTTGCAAAAAAATATAATGATAAAATCACATAATGTAAATAAAGCGTCATTTAATAAGAATATGGGAATAACTCAGTTCTGACAAAAATGTCAGATAGAACCTTATAATTCTAAGGTGACGACTAGGGTTGTAACAATATACCGGTATGACGGTCTACCACGATTTGAACGTGCACGATTATCATACCATGAACAATTGCATATCAACGGTTTTAACCCTTAAAGACCGAGACAGCCGCCCGCGGCTAAAAATAAGTATTGCTCTTAAATGTTTAATAACTTTTGATTCGCTGATCCGATTCATACAATTTAAAGATTGGAATAAAGAAGAGAATCTCAGCTTTCCAGTGCTCTATCACATAACATTCGCAGACTTTCAGAGGCTCCGGAATCAGTGCAGTTACGTCATCAAAATTTGACAACGCTGATTTGACAAAGAAACGCTCGTCACTGTGTCTCCGGACAAACCAGACATGATACATTGATGCATTGTCCCTCCTCCATGCCCAGATTGGTTCAAACTCGCTATATCACAACCAATAAGCATAGGTTTTGCTTTTGTTTTTGGACCAACAACGAGCTTTTTGAACAACACGGAATGAGAGATAGGCATACATTTATGCGCGGCTAAATAAAACGCAAAAAAAAAGTTTTGCATGAAATAATTCTCATACTAAGTACTTTTGCATGCACAGCAGCACAGAAACATGACAAAACAGTGACACAGCAAAGACGAACTGCTGCTCTTGCTGTTTTCAAAAGACGCAAATGAAGGTGCAGCTATTTGTCTGCATTGCAGACAACCATATCCAAATCCATATCCACAGACAACCATATCCATGCTGGCACATAAACCCTAAGGATGTTCCATATTGAATCTAGTTTCGTTATGTAACTATTTATAGTATAGTAAATATTTATATCTATTTTTTTTTACTGAGGATCACTGATTTATTATTAATCAGGGACAAAATTTTGTAATATCGTGATAAACAATATCCAACCCCTAATATAGTCAGGTCTATTTAATATAGGCAAAACATGAATAAACCAGTAAACCTAGCATATAGGGTGTGTTCATTTTGACCCACCAGTGTGTTACTTTACTAAAGTAACAACATGCAATTTGTTTAAAGTAAAATTATTTGGAAGTTGTTCAAAATACCACCTGATACTGATAGACCACACATTAGTATGTTAGTAACCACAGCAAGAATGTGTTTCTGTCTAAAACATTATCTTTTATATTAGGTAATTTTGTCCCAGATTTTCCCTTACTGATGCGGGTTTTTTACACTGTTATGTGTCGCTTTGATGACGCACAACAGAAGTTAGATTATTGACACTATGAAAACACCACTGACATTTGGTATAATCTATGGTCCAATAAAGAAATCATAAAATATTTACATGGCTGTAATCTATATGTATATTTGTATGACTGCAGGATGACAAAAATAATAAACTGCATAAGGATGTGATAGGATTTGGCAAATGTTGAATGAATGAATAAAAAAGGACTGTACACTTACAGTACATTAATAAGGGCTAGTGCTTGTGCATATTAAACTACATAAAAATGCTATATGTTCTCTGCATTCTGACTGTATGTTCTCCCAGTGAGAATTAATGGCCTATTTTTCCTCATACATGCATGACGCAGATGCTCATAGTGTGTCCGGCATCTGCTGCCTTATATATATGTGGATACGAACCATTGATATTCTGTATTATTATACAGTGCTCTTACTGGATTCTTACTTGACTGGATTATTTACAGAATTCTTACTTGATTCTACTTCTGACATTCCAAAGTAGGGTTTCCCAAAGACAAACCTGAAATGTTTAGCCCGAAAGGCAGAGAAGGAGACTCAAAGCTACTATGTGACTGGCTAAGACATACTTCATATATATATATATATATATATTTTTTTTTTTTTTTTTCTTCAAGAGTAAGTCGTATTTGTTTTATTTCGGCTAGATTAAAAACAGTTTTTTTTAAACATTTTAAGGTCAAACTCATTAGCCCATTTAAACTATATTTTTTATTATTTTTTTTCGATAGTTTACAGAACCATGACTATTGTTATACAATGACTTGCCTACAATAACCTGCCTAGTAAACCTAATTAAGCCTTTAAATGTCACTTTAAGCTGTATAGAAGTGTCTTGAAATATATCTAGTCAAATATTATTGGCTCTCATCATGACAAAGATAAAATAAATCAATTAGAAATGAGTTATTAAAACTAATATGCTTAGAAATGTGCTGAAAAACGTTTCTTAGTTAAACAGAAATAAACCGGGGTGCTAATAATGGTGCATAAAATGGTTTTCGATGAAAATAATATCGTTTATCTCAATATATTTTGGTGCAATATATTGTACAACAAGTATAGATATCAAGACAGGCTGCTAGTGAGGTGCAAGACACTCATGGTCCATTTATGTAGATAAGGATGACAAAAAATAAAGTAAACTGTGACATTATACTCAAACATCCTCCTTACAAGGAAACCTGCAGGATGTGAAGAAACTGCTGCAGTAAGTCTGGGAAAATATTGAAGCTATTGGAGAAAATGAATGGAGCTGAATATTTTTTTCTGTTAGAATGTATTATTATATATGTATTAAAATAGCTAAAGTTGTATTGATTTACTAGAATTGATGAAGAACAAAAATCGAAAATACTTTAAGACGCCCAATATTTTACAGAGAAGCTACTTAATGTTGGGGTATGAGTAAACTGTGGGAAAGACAAATATGTGTTAGGCAATTATAGAGGAAATGACACAATAACCCAAAAATTGGTTCAGCATGCCCTGCTAAGCTGAAATATGCCATCTAATAATGGCTAATGTTTCATGTGTCATATGATCCCATAGCTCTAAAAATGGCACAGTTCCTTTTCCGTTTTCAAGTTCCACATTCACATAAAGACTGTAGGCATAACACTGGCATAATGCTAGAAAATTGCTGCCAAGCGTCATTAGTCACAAAGACTGCTGGTTTTACAAGATAATAATTAGAAGAAGATGACTACAACATTTTTGTTCATTTGTAACCTGCCGCCAATAGTTTAAAATCTCGTAGTATAAAGAAATTAAAGTGCAGGTCTCAAAATCAACCTTTTTACTTGGTAGCACTGGTGCTTTTCGGAGCATCAGAAAAAAAAAATTGTACTAGTATCCACAAAAAAAAAAATCAGGACTAACAAAGCCAGAAACAACCATCTAACTAATGTGGTAATGACTTGTGCAATTATTACAAAATGAATGTCCAATAATTACAAAATATTAATGATTTTGATGATGACAATAATACTAACAATAGCCCCTTTCACACATACAGACCTTTCCGGAAAATTACCGGCAATTTTCCGGAGAGGTTGTATGTGTGAACAGGTCCTTTTTGAAAATACCGGTAAATTCGTTGTGGCTATTTTCCGGAAAGAGAAGTTGTAACATTACCGGCAATTTGCCGGAATGCTGCGCTGTGTGAACGCAGAAGGAATATTTCCGGAATAAGCGTGTGCACGTCTAGAACGTGCTGACGTAAGACGTCTGCTTTAGCCAATCAGAACAGTCAGACGCATTTACGTCCGCGCGGTTTATGAGAATAAAAGCCTTTGAATATTTTCCCAGACACATTTAGCTGCTAGAAGTTAGTCAGATCACGTTTATATGTTCTTCTTAATGCCAACTGTGTAAATGATCATCGATGAGATGCTTATGATAAGCCGTTGGTTGTTTACCTTCAAGCTTTGCGTGTGCCCATGAAACAGCCTGTGAGCGCCTGCACACGC